CAAGCGAAAGGGAAGCGGGAGGGGGGAGGAGGGGCCACTGCCAGATGTTTTTCCCACATGGGCCGATCTGAAAGTTCAGATGACCCGACAGTATGCACCGCCAAACCAAGCACACCGAAATTGGTCGAGTTTTTTAGCGTGTTGCCAAGGAAAGCGTGAGCTTGCGGCATATGTACAAGAGTTGAGAAATCTCATTACTGCCATGGTCAGAGATTACCCTTACGGCCTACGTGAGTGCAGATAGTGTTGCTCTTCGTGAGCGACTCCTTACTCTCCAGGAGTTTACGATGGAATCGTATCAGGAGCGTCACTACAGTCACGTGGGATGCCCGTGCACCCACCAAACGGCAAACCAGTGGTGCTTGCACCAGGTGAAACATCTGCACAGGATGATCACCAGTTCACCCGTTGGGTAGAATGAGCATGTAAGCTCTCAAGTTTGTCAAGCTTTCGTTTAGGCGCTAAAGCGCAAGACATTTGGTTAGAACGTCGTCTACGTTTTAACTTCGCTAAGCTCAAAGCGAAACGTCAATTACCTTCCACATACAGGTCAAAGACTTGTGGGGACAAGCTTCTAAAGCTGTTGCCCGTACCTCTCACTCGAGTGATGTACCGACAATGGCTTCTTCTGAATGTCAGAGGCCAAGCCATCATGCTGACCCTACTTCCACAGCACCTAGTGCTAGGAAGCGTCCGACGACAGCTGTCGTCGCTCTTGACCAGGAAGTTCAAAAGCGTCAGCGGCGTCAGGGCAATCCTGCCGGAGGGGTACCTCATACTCCCACGAGTCATACGACTGGGGATAATTTCTCCACTTCACCAAGTATTGGGTATAACCCAGGTGACGACGCCGAGCCAAGAGGCGTTCCACGTTGGAGGAGGTCGATGACCCATTGACCTCTCATCTTTCTGAGATTGAGCGTCGCCTGACGCTCCTGGAGCGTAATGTCCTTGCATCGGTGAGGTCTCACCTGTCATCGCTCTATGACCGTGTCGATCGACACCGTCGGTCTTTTGAGCGTTATTGCTCTGAGACCTCGGATCGCTTAACGGCAAATGAGCATTCTCAGGCCAAACTGAGATGTCAGATCGACCTCCTGGTACGACTTCAGCGTCCAAATGCACCTCCAGTGCAGTACTTTCCGCCTTCTTCGGCCGGGGGTTCAGGGACAACCCCTCAAAGTCCACCGAGGAGGGTTGAGGTATGGCTTTAGCAAGCCACGAAGAACACAGGATGTGTTCTCATCTTCTTCGGAAGGTTCAGCTATAGGCTAAACCTTTCTTGTCTATGATTTTGAAGGGTCCAATAAAACGTGGTCGTAATTTAACTTTATATACCGCAACTTGCACGAGTAGGTAAATTCCTAGCGTTTAATAAAACCAAATCTCCCACTTTGAACTCTTGGTCATTCATTCTGCCTTTGGCATCCGCATGTTCCTTCTTAACATCCTGGCTTTCAGCCATAGCGTCTTTGACGCGACGTCATACGTCAAAACGCGTTGACAGAAACGCTTTCACCTTTTTGTGCATAGCAACAGGGCTGATATCAGCCAAGCCTTCAGCTATCATTTCCCCAATAAGCCCGGCGGTAGCATTAAAGGAACGCAAGGGTTGACCAAACCATTCACATAGAATTGGGTGAAGCCTGTCGTGGCATGCACCGCGTTATTCAACGCAAACTCTGCCAGAGGGAGCATCGTGCTCCATTGCTTGGGTGTTAGCCATCTTGCTCAATTGGTCTACAAAGACCACAATCCCAGTGTTGCCTGCCGCATCACGCGGTAGGCCAAACACAAAGTCCATACTAATGGACTTCCACAACCCCGAGGGTACAGGCAAAATCGCCAAAGGCGCAGCCATACTAGGCGAGGGTTTCACCCTTTGACACGTTTCACACATGCGTACGTAGGTACCAACCAACCCATTTGTACAACTTGTGCCACCAATAATGGGTGCTCACCGGGCTGTAGGTCTTCTCACGACCTAAATGACCACCAGGTGGTGTATCATGAGCTCCATAAAGTATTTGATACTTGAGGTCCTCATCGTGAGGCATCACAACACGAGGTTGGTCATCCGACCCTGTACTATAGTACAACAGACTATCGGTCAGTGCATAACGATGTAATCTCGCACGATTACATGGTGACAGCTTCAACTTAGAGTTTTCAAACTCTACGCTACCCAGAGCCTGTACAATGGCAACACATGCCTCATCGCGTGCATACGTCACATGGATATGATCAGTGACCGACGAAATCACAACAGTAAGATGAGCAAGCTTATAGTCAGGTCGACGCGATAACGCGTCAGCCAAAACATTCTTTTTTCCCGGCTTATACTTCACCTCGAAGTTATACTCCGCGAAAAAGGAGAGCCAACGAGCCATTCTCGGCAAGAGATGAGGCGACTGTGTCGCTGTGCGTAACGACGCATGATTGGTATAGATCACAAACGGCTTTGAGCTCAAAATGTGTACCCTGAACTTAACAAGGGCATACTTCATCGCAAATAGCTCCTTGTCATAAACTGGATAGTTCTTCTCTGCAGATTCCAGCTGACGAGACTCAAACGCGATGACGCGTTCTTGATCCTCAGAGTTAACTTGCAAGAGTGCACTGCCAATGGAAAAGTCCGAAGCGTCACATACAACGCTAAACGGTCGATCAGGGTCAGGCATAATACCAAGTGCTAGGCACTTCACGCTTATAAGCAAGTGTCGTAACACTATAATGCTTTAGCGTGAATGCAATGCACTGTATGTTCAAGGAGCAAGTGTCATAGCACTAGGATGCTTAGAAAGCGTGATTGCAAAGCACAGGTGCTCAAGGATCAAGTGTCAGAACACTAATGCTTTGTTCGCAAGTGCGAGGCACTTTATGGTGAGGCAAGCAAAATGGGAAGAAAATGAAATCGACAAAACTCCACCTTAAGTTCGAAAATGGTGGGTACGTCAGGTCCCAGGGAGGGTGTAACGGGGTTACACAAAGGTGTGTATTATACATACACAGCTGACACACTATTGTGGTGTGGCTGTACCCCCCCCCCCCCTGGGTACAAAAGTAGGTGATGTGACCGTACCTAAGTTACGAAGGGTCGCAGAGAGCCACGTGGTCACTATACTTAACTAAGTATAGTGACTGTACATGTTTGCATATTAATAGGCTACAAAGCCAGTAATTAGTACTTAGCACTAAGTATAAATTAGGTGCTTCTATATTTAGTGCTAGAAGATAAACATAAATAATCAGTTTCAAACCTGCTCTGAAACGCTTAAGGTGCTTGAGCGTTCTATTCCTTTTGTAAGGAATTGTATCTTCGAAACTGGTCTCTTGGAGACGTGGTTGTTCACAACCGATGGGCACAAGCTTACGAGCTAGCCTTGGGAGGGTTAAGAACACTAAGGCGTATAAGCATTTTAAACTTGTCGTCCTCTGTACCTAGTGCATAAGTAGCTTTGCTACAATAGCTCAGCTACATTCCGAGTTATAAACCTTTATTACCAGGTGTGAAGGCCTTAAGCTCTTCATATTCATGCTGAAAAAGAATTCATCGTGTTCAACAGACAACTTTTATATCCAGCAGATGACGCTTTTCAGCACGGTGCGCGTGGGTTTTTGAAGAGACCTGGGGAGAGGTTAAGGTTTTTTGTTCAAACAGATCTTCCTCTTTGATTCTCTCGTCTTCAGAGCTCCTCTTGGAACGCTGAAGATCTGGGACACTTTAAATCCTTCACATGCCTGGGGAGGATGCTTAACTGCTACCATGTCAATCCCAAGTTAAATCTTGATCTCATTATCGTTTCCTGCGACCTCACGGTGGTTATCCAAAGTCACCAAAAGTATGGGAATGCGCACTAATGCGGTAGAGCGGCTAATTACATTTTTATCAAGTGATATTGGCTCGACAGTCATGAGGGCAGACTGGCAACTTTCGGAGGGAAAGGGAGCAGCGAAGAGGCTTTTTAGAAAGCTAGCTAGATTGGACAAGTCAACTATCCAAACAACCTCTTTATGTGCAACAAATCTCTTTTGTCGATAAAAAGGATGAGCAGACGTATGTATGTATGTATGTAAACGCTTTACGCGAGCCGTCTTGCCACCGAAGTGGCTCAACTTCCACATGCGTCAGGTCATCTCTCCTTTTCTACATTTCTATCTACTCTCGACAGGGTCCATTAAGCGGCGCGCGCTATATGCGCCGCGCTGAAGGCTGTCCAGACTGCACGATCCTGTGTACAGTGGCGAAGGAGGTACAGGTCTGGGGCCAGTCGACAGCGGTGTCCAACGTTTTTTTTTCTTGATCCCTTGGATGTCTATCTTGTCAACAGGGCCCAAGGAGGGTCCTTGTTTCTCCACTGTGAACAAAGAATGACGGGAGCATACCTAAGCGGAGATTCCGACTTCGGGGCTTCCGGCGTGGCGGCTTGGCTGGAGGCTAGGGGAAGAGCGACAAGAGAGAGGTGCGTAAAGGGAGAGGAAACCTGTTCAAACTGACGGATGCCGCGAAGCACCCGTCGGAGGTCTGCGCTTGCATCAGCTAGCCCAAGCTTTCCGGGAGAAACTGACCAGGATGAGCAGACATAATTGCAATTAAATGGTTTATGGCTCATGCTCGGTACACTGCTGGCATTGAAGTGCTGTTTTTCGAATAACCATTGGACAATTGTGTGGCGAACGTTTAGGTGAGGCTTTTGTTGATGTTATTGCACTTCATTTTGCTGAACGGCGTTTTCCAGTATGTTTTTTGGTTCCTCTAAATATCTTGTATCTTGTATGAAACTCATTGTTGGCATGTTGTACAACAAAGCTGTACACTTCGTTTTGTCGGCTTTGTCCAGACCAAACATTATAAGCTAGACAAGTATTTGTACAGCTGTAATAAATCAGGAATTTCACTTTTATTTCAACAATATTTATACCATCGCAAAAAAATCGTCGACACATTATAAGGACGATGTGCAGGAAACGCTTTAGGTGGTTAGTTGTCTTTTATTATATTACTGCAATCTCCATGGGACACGCTCTTTGACGTGCATCCGACCGACTGGAGAAAAACATGCGTCGCTATCCCATGCGTACGTCGGTGATGAAAATAACTCGCTACCGTGGTTTGAGGCAACATTTCCTCCTGTTCCGAGCTCCAAACAGAGTATTTTCTCCACGGAGCGGTTGTCTTGACAATCGGCAAGCGGAAGAATGAGATCTTGCAGCTCATCTACAGAGAAATTGCAGTGTTGTTCCGATGACATGCTGGTTCGAGCTCCATTGCTCACCTCGCTAGTTTTTAAAAAACCTATTGGGTCCGTAGCCCAGCGAGGTGCGCCCTTAACAAAACCTATGTTTGTTTGATCGCTGGCGTCTGTTGGCTGCAACAAGCGGCTATAGCTGTCCTTCTTTCGCTTTATAGTATTTGAATTAGTAGCAGTAGAAAACGCAGAGTCTGCAGAACGAATGAGTTCCGTGACCGTTTGTTTGCGTCTGACATTTGAACAAGCATCGTCTACCGCGCGAGCGTTGTTAACAGGTGGTCGGCGGCTGATGATGTCAGCCAGCTGTTGAGGGTGACACCGCACGAGATGATGGTGGCTGAAGGTGCAAACGCTAGACTGCGTCTTAGTCCACTTGCGGAAGCCAAAGTTGTTGAGTTGGCGCTGAAAGCTTGCGAACTTGCCGTGCTTGAAGTACTTGGGTAGCACTGCGGTCTCTAGTCGCTTCGTGTCAAAGATTTGGAAGTGCGTGCCGTCTTCGGACCATGCCAAAATTGCTTGGTCTTCGTACTGCAGAATGTCGTAGAGGCTGCGTAGAAACTTGGGTACTCGCATTGCACGGAGGGTGCTTGGTTTTGAGGAACCTACGTTGCGCTCGGGAATACCAAGCTGTTGCATCCGCATTCTGTGCATCATAATGGCGTGAACTGTAGAAATGAGCAAAGCTGCTTGGAGGAGATCCAATTGTAATGTGAGGCAAAAAGGGTAGGGCCCGCCTATAGCTTCTGCTTCTTTTAGACGATGTCAAGCTTGCTTTCAGTGAGGGAAAATGTCTGCACTTGCTTTAAGGACGCCATACAACCGAGTCACGTACGCCGACGTTTCATGTTGCACGTTATTTCATGCTTCGAGTCAGAGTTGCGTGGGCTTTGCTGAACCTTGCAATTATTTCCACTCGACTATGTGGATACGAACTAAGTCTTTTGGCTTGCTATGGATGGAAAGGTCGTCGACTGACACATGTCATACTTTCGTCTGTCCCTCCTGGACAGATTAGTCTCACACAACCAGCAACTTCCTCCATCTGTTTAACTTCAACTTGGGTCAAGAACTAAGTACTTGAACCTTTAGCTTGTCATTCGAGTGCTAGTGACGGGAAGCCTTCCTATACACCGTGGCTATTTTGTGAGATCGCTGCGAGCCCTGGCAATACGTTGCCTCTTAGTCGCCGAGTTGGTAATAATAGACTATCACTCGCCACAAGATTTTGCTGTTCATGTGCGTACAATCATAAGCGGTTTTATTACAAGTGATAGTGCGCCTGTAACAATGCAGCGATGTTGTAGCTCTTCAACATATACTGACATAGAGAGTCTGTCTATTTTCTCATGCGAAGCGTGTGTTATATCGCATCGCTTCTAACGACGCGTGTCTAGCATCCGTCCTTTTCACAAGCGTGAATATTAATGCAAAAAGATCTGTCGTAAGCTGAAATTTGATGAGTTTACCGCCATCTCGTCGTGGCAGCATTATTGGTACATGTATTAATAATGTTGCCTCACCCATGCATTGCAGTGCTGTTTGATGTCGCCTCGACAGTTTATCTTGATAGTTGTTCTAAGCCGCACAGCACATGGTAAAGTCACAATTAACAATCAAGTCCAGGCCCAAGCGCAACACCACCAACGTATTGAATAAACTTGACTCATCCGCATGGCGACGACAAGTCATAAAACTATATTGCTAGAGCATTTTGCTAGCAAGCAGCTGCTCTGTTCGCATCACGATGGCGAGCTGTGGCATCTCGCGTCGCATATCTCTAAATGATATCAAACACTGCTTTGAGCTTGATGACAAGCTGCCAGTCCTCCTTCTGAAGATCTTCTCGAAAATTTTCTTTCAGCGCGTCAATACTCTGACGGGTCAAGCGTGACACCAACTTGTTTTTGTGGTCAAAGTGACGGCCATACATGACGCTACCTTCATTGTCAATTCGAACGGCCACCGATGCACCCTTTTTAGCGCGGTCCACTTCCTTGTGCTCACGTTCGATAGATCCCACCTTACCGACCAAAAAGCCGCCAGCGGACGGCACCACAAGAGGCGTACCAACCTTGAGAATACCCTCTTCAATGTCGACACCAAGAATAATCGGGTCCTTCTTGTTAAAGACGCAGTTAGGGAGGATCTTGAGCACGCAAGGAAACACAGCAACCTCCTCAAATTCCTCGCGACGAGCACTACGGAAGTTGTCCATGTATGCCGTAAACTGATCAAACAGGTGATATATAATGTCAGCCGTGAAAATGCGCACGCCAAGCTCAGATGCCAGCTCAGTTGCGTCGTTGTGGACCTTCACGTCAAACGCTAGAATTGTAGCAAATTCGGGCTGGTGCTCGAGCTGAACAGAAGCTCGCATAACATCCTTCTTGTGCACGGGACCGATGTTGACAGAAGATACAGGAATGGGCGGGTCACACGTTCGCAAGAACTCCAGAAGTGCCTCCAAAGCACCAAGAGTAGAAGCCTGAACCATCACACCGCGGCGGGTAGCCTTCACTGAGTCCAAAATACCAGTAAGGTCGGACATAACCAAATCCTTCAGCTCCTCGACATCGTCATCAGGGCCAACCACGTAGATCTGTGTGCCAGCAACAGCTTTCTCCAAACCCTGTGCGCAAATCTTCACACCCATCGCAGCTCGCATCTTTTGATGGTGGATGTACTCACCCTTAACACGAATTTCTTTCATAGGGTGCGGAGTCAGCAACGAGCGGATGGTTGTTACAACAGGCCCATCCAATGTACACACAACGATAGTAGCCCCTTCTTCTAGTGTACCATTCACTAAAATCGTATCAATCGTTGTGCCGAGACCTTCTATCACCTTTACTTCAAGCACAGTACATTGCAAAATATCGACAAACGCCAATGACTTCGCCATACGCTCCTGTGTTAATCGAGTCAGCATCATCAGCAGATCAGACACACCCTCGCCGGAGATAGCACTGGTTGGGATGAGCGAGACCGTGTGCGCCAAATCTTTATTGCGCCAGTAAACCTCGGCGTTTAACTTCTGCTCGGCAAATTCCACAATAATTGCTTTCATACGGTCCTCAAACTCGCGAATGACGTGCTCATTCTGGAGCTTGAGTGCCTCCTGAACGGGCATGTCGGGCGTTGTCTTCCAGCCATAGCAACGATCAATTTTGTTAAGTGCGACGACAAATGGTGCCTTTTTTTGGCGCAGCAAGCGGAGTGACTCCAGGGTCTGCGGCTCCAAACCGTGCATAATGTCAACCACTAAAATCGCGATATCACACAGAGATGAACCACGATTACGAAGATTTGTGAACGACTCGTGACCAGGTGTGTCGATCACAAGCAGGCCAGGCAGGCGGAACTCCAGCTTCATTGTCTCATTGAGACGAGCTGTCTTTTGTTTTATAGCTTCTACGGGGAAGAAGGTTGCACCAATCTGCTGGGTTATTCCACCGGCTTCAGCGTCCTGCACCTTGGTTTTGCGTATATTGTCGAGCAGTTTCGTTTTTCCGGTATCGACGTGACCCATGATACAGCAAATAGGTGAGCGCAAGTTGTCCAACGACACATTGGCTCGTGCGGCGGCCTCACGCTCGCGACGACGATCAGCAGCCTCTTTCTTTTTGCGATCAGCCTCGAGTTTAGCTTTTGAGCGCTGATGCAGCTCTTCAGCCTCCAGTCGCATCTGCTCGGCCTGCTCTTCCTGACGCTTCTTCAGTGCAATTCCTTGCTGACGCAGACGCTCTTGCACCTTCTTCTGCTCCAGTACCAAAAGGTCTTCGTCGCCGTCACTTTCGCTCTCACGAGCATCACTTTCATCTTTAACCTCCTGTAATTTAGTTTCAAGCGAGGCCACAACATCGCTCGTCTCCCAATCCTCATCATCCCACGCGTCTGGAGCTTCAGCCGCCACTTCCTGTTCCTCTACAGCGTCCTCCGTCGCATCTCTGTCATCAATTTCCTCCTCCATAAAAACGCTTGGCTCAGCCTTCTTTGGCTTATCCATGTTATTCTTATTATTATTATTGTTCTTCTTCTTGTTGTCCGAGTACACGACTGTCTTTTTCTCACCAGCAGATTCCGGCACGAGACCTGCCTGATGCATGGCCTCCAACGCTGCCTGAGCTTTTGCCGCCTTTTGCTTCTGGGCTTTAGTCATGTACGTGCCTTCCTTCTTTTGCCGTTCGATCTTGGCGGCGCGCGCCTCCTTCTTCTTGCGGCGAATCTCCTCCTCCGCCTCAACTTCTGCCAACCGTTTGGCTTCCTCCTCCTGAGCAATACGCTCTTGCTCTAAACGTTCTTGCTCTAGGCGCTCCTGCTCAGCCCTTAAAGCTGCCTGTCGCTCCATCAGTGCCTTGGCCGCAGCAGACATGGGCTTCTTCTCATCATCCTTCTTCGTGTCCGTATTAAGTTTCTTTTTTCCTTTTTTCTTCTTCTTCTTATCGTCTTTTTTCTCTCCATCAGCGACTGGGGCGACACCAAGAGACGCCAAGTAAGCAGCAGCAGCAGCATTCACGTCCTTCTCTTGTTTCTTGTTCTCGTCCAGTTGTTTCTTCTCATATATCACCTTCTGTTCCTCCTTCTGTATCATACTACTAGGAACAAACTCATTCAACAAGTCATCTAAATCGTCCGATGCAGCAGTGGTCGTACTTGAAGTCTTTTTGGCAGTTTTCTTTCCTTTCTTCGGTGCCATTTTGGCTCAGGATTCGTGTAGCAAAAATTTAGATCTGTTGAATCAATGGCTCACACAATTTTATCACCACGATATGGGTAAGGGATATTTTACAAAATAGGGGGACAGCGAAAAGAGTACCCTATTTTTATGATATTCTATAATAGCACTTTAATATAAAGTGCCTCGATAAATGACTGAATGAGCTTGACAGATACAAAATGCTTGACTTAGCAAGCTATCGTTTATGTCAATTTCTGTCCTCTGTAACATTACGAAGTTCAAAAAGTAAATATCACAAAAGCATTTTAAAAAACCATCAGCATGTATATTTGTTCTGAACATGTAAATTTCGACATATCTATCAAAACAGCTCTGTCCAGCCGTCACCACCACGCACGAATGTTAATCTGCTCGATTTACGATAAGTGCCAGATTTTGGCAATTGTATATCCCATGACGCTGACGTTGTCATACACAACACTTTACGCTATCCGCAGTTTAATGGTTGGCAAACAGCACCAAAGTTCCAATTTCAGACTTATGAAATGATTTATTTTCAAAAGGCACGCGTGTCACGAGAACACCTTTCACCTGACTGGCCTCTCACGTGTTCACGGCACATCACACACCCTGTCGATAAGTAGCGCATACAAACACCTACTCGCACGCGTACCCGTAAATGCAAAACATATATGCATATTCGCCAGGGATGAATTTTTCTTATGCTAGATGTATCCGGTGGGCATCAAGTTACCTGTCTTGCAGGGATATGCGCCAAGTCTTCCTCTCTATGCGTCCTTCATGTACGAATCCATCTCATTGTCCAGCTCCTCAGCAGATTTGGATGACGCAGGTTCACGGACGCTAAAGGTTACACAAGGTGTTTACATTATCAGAAAATGCCCCACATTAGCAAAAAACGCGTGCTGCCTTACTCCTGAGCGCCCTTGTCATTACCACGTACGCGGCGACCTTTGTTGCGGCGGCCTTTCGCCTGATCGTTATCTCTGTTTCCTCTGTAAGCGTTAAGCCCTATCAGATTCCATCGACATTATAAAACGAAATCCAACATACTCGACGTACCCGAAAGACACCTTAAACTTGACATTCTTGTCATCGCCACCAAGTGCAGTTCCAAAAAGCCCGTTACGAACATTTCTGTCAGAGTCCAGCGCAATCTGCATCGGCTGGCCATCCAACGTACGTCCTACAGCGTTTGCGCAAGCATAATGTTAAGTGTCGATGCAATTAAAGCTAACAGCACTTCTGCTAACGCGTACCGTCATATTGCTTGATGGCCTTTTCGGCGTCTGAGCGGCGGGTGAACCAGACACGTGCAATGCCCTTCGATCGACCCGAGCGATCGTATACGATCTCAGCCTTAGACACCTCGCCTACCGTGCCAAAAAGCTCCCGCACCTCTTCCTCCAAAATGTCAAACTTAAGATTCTTCACTAGGATCTTTGTGCCAGGGTTTGCCACATCCTTGCCACCGACACGCAATAGGATAGACGAGCCGCCTACATGTCAGCCAAGATAGTCGTCAATCGACTCGCCAAAGTACAGCTGTAAAGCTTACAAAATAAGCTTGGGCTCACACCTTTCTTACCGCCCTTGCCGGGCTTTTTAATCACCACTGAGCGCTTCTTGCCGCCGCGGTTGTTGCTGCTGCTATCACCAGCGTCGTCCAAATCAATGTCCATGTCGTCATCGTTGTCGCTGCGCTTTTAGACAGCAAGGCAGAAGTAGCAGGACACAATGCACGTGTAAATTTTTGCATCAACGCAACGTCTTCCTCTCAACTAACAGTTAGGCAGGCGCCGTTGCTCCCCCAGAGCGAAGGGACGACAAAAAAAGCTCGTCCGTCTGGCAATCTGTCCGTCCGTTATCGCAGAGGTAGGGAGCGAAGGGTTGCCTTCCGTAGCATAAGGATACAAATAGAAGGAAGAGAATAGATTGATAGAGCTGCTTTTTAGCTCGTGACGGCACTTACAGATCGTGAGTAGGGCTGGTTACGGCTGTTGTTGCGTCGGCGTCTACCGCGGATGGGTCCTGCCGCCGCATCTTTTTCTCTATTGGCCTTGAATGGTCGTGAAGACGGATTAGTCGCCTTTGTCTTCTTACGGGCGATCAAATCGTCCAGACTCATGTCAAGAGAGGCAAGGATAGACGACATCTATCTTAGTCTTTTAGAAAGCTACTAAAGTGCAAAAGGGTTGTAAAACCTGCAAAAGTGGCATTAGAAACAACAACATATAGGACAGTAAGCTCAGGTACATCGCAACTAGAGCGCAATTGGTCAGAGAAACTGTCGTTTACGCAGAGGGACGGTGATGATTCTTACCAAGAATTTTTCTTTATGTGAGGGAGGTACAAATTGACAACAATAAATAGCCGTAGAAGAGGGGGAATGTTGCGTGAATTGAAACGTCACCTTCAAACGACATCTGTCCTGCTGAGATTTTATATAAAATAGGACAGACAAAACGATCCTAAGCTCGACCATGACGAAGACGTTCCTAAGCTCGGCACTGTGTGGGCTCGTGGCTGTCCTATCAAACGCTTCAGCCACCACTCTATTTCCTCACGTTCCAATTGTGATGTGGTCTCAGCGGCCGTATGTTTTTCTACTTGCTGTTAATATTTGATAGAAATTTTATACGGTTTTGATCGGTATTGTTGCAGCATTTTCGCCGGATCCAACACTTATGTAAGCTTGGAAATGGATGAGGTAGCACTAGCATCGACGTTGGAGACTGTATTGACGCGTGACATTACTGCTGACAGTGTGGTATATTGTGAAAAGACATGTTTGACTTGGACATAGGCTAGAAACTTTTAAACTAATGACGAATTATTACGCTTATTACAGGGCATGTTGAGCACACCGACGACGTCATTCCAGCAAGCAGAAATAATGTGTTTGTTTCTCTTGCCTTCGCTTGTTTTGGAAGACGTGCCGCATCTTTCGAAAGGCGCTGGTTCCTTTATACAGAACGTTGTCCACAACTCAGTTTCGTCGGTAGTAATTCCACACACGACGCGCACAAAATTTCTTCTTTCTGAGTTGACAAGCATGAAGCCACACATCGTCGGACTCAAAAAATTGGATGCATTTATTGTGTCTGAGGAGATACAGATGCTGCTCTCAAATGGCAAAACGGACCTGATTGTGGTGCAACTGCCAGAGACGATGCCTCTATCCGACGTAGATGCCGCTGTTAAAACTGCTTCGAGCAAATTGAACGAAGCATCAGATGGCAAGATGGATTTTGCGTTTACTGGCAATGATGCCACACCGGTGGTGATCCAGGACCTATTTGCTCGGCGTCTTAATGCTCAAGCCAAGGCTAAAATGAACTCCACCCAGGCTGCTGCATTTGAATGCCAAGAGGGTTACCTGATTGGATACAGCGCAGCAGGCAAGGCCTTCTGTTTTTCGCACTACGTGAACATTACTCCCGACATCATGACGGGTCTCCTCGTCGGCCTTCTTTTCATTTTTATGGCGTACATTGGTCTAAGTGTGCTGCACCAGATCCAGACGCCGCAACGATACCCAGTGCAGGGAGCACCACGCGGCAAGGAATTCTGAGGTGTCAGTACGGAAGTAGCAAAGAGCAGCTCAACGTGCACAGCTACCAAGAAACGAAGATGCAATCCAATGAAAGTTTTATTTCCCTTTTGTTAACAATATCTAGCTCAAATTGTTTTACTTACCGCGCCTTCTGCAACAGCACTCGAATATGCAGTGAGCAGCCTGTGCACGGCACCACGTCCACGCCATCCTGCAGCTCGTCTTCTGTAATTTCGTAAAAATCTCCGCAGCGACACTTTTGTGTATAAATCATCTCGTCATCCTCGCTCTGCAACATTTTCCGCTGCATGTCAGCAAGAGAGACCTCATCAGACACAACCACGACTTCCTGCTTTCGCTTTTGCACCAGCTCATCTTGGCGCAACTTAGCGTCATACTGCTTTCGTAACTCTGCATTGCGCAATGTCTCATAGGCCGCTTGCACGCTCAGGAAATGCTCTTCATTCTCAGCTACTACATCATTGGCTTCCAAATTCAATCCATTCACACGTTTATCTGGGTGGTATTTACGTGCCGCTTGGTAGTAAGCATGGCGAACATCATCGGCATTACACGTGGTTGCTATGCCAAGTACTTCATAAAAGGAACGCGACATTATTCAGTAGACAGACACCACCATCAGTCAGTCAGTCATTTGCTCTCACACTAATTCCGCCTTTCGCATTCTATCGTATTTGATTACACATACAAAAAAACAAACAAAAATATGTTGCCCTAGCCGCATCCTGAGTGATGGTAAATGTGCACAAGTCGCACATAGCAGACGCTGCTTCTTCGCTTCTTCTTCTTAGTATAATTTTTTTGTGCAAGTCTATCATTGGTCGTGTATTGGCACGTTTACTTGAGTGGCGGACGAAATTGAGATGGTCTGTTTATTCATTTGTATCGTTATTATCTGTTCGGAATGTTTATTGACAGATCTTTTGACTCTTTATATCTTCTTACTTGTACTTGTGCAGAGCGTTATAACAAATGGAAGGACTGATCAAGACGTTCTTGGCTCTATTCCTGTCCTCGCCGTTAAATCTTTTCCACCTTTGTCACGTACACCGCCGTTATCGTACTCGGTCCCGCGCTCACATATTGTCACTAGCTCTTTCCATGGAACATTGCGTAAACGCAGTCATAGTGGCGATATGCTCTTGTTGAAGTCCGTTGAGACATCTTCTCGTTTTGCAATTGCAGCAACCCACGTGTCGATTGCGCTGTGTTCCTCTTTGGGCGAGTCCTTGGCTGCAGAAAAATTACGATTAGGATCAACATCTTTTGTCAGGTGGCAGTTACCAGTTCTTTCACAGCCAAAACGTAGCGGTGTGAGATACAGAGTCTTACGTCAACGGGGAAAGTTTCCAATGTCAAGAAGATGCCTCGTGCTACGACTGCAGTCGATATAACTCATGGGACAGCACAGATGCAGTTGATTCTTCGTGGGTTACGGCATGTTTTGCCGTGTAGTTCTAACGGGTGTCTCAATCCACTTTGTATATCTACACGCGCTTTCATGGACAAAATGAAAGCTTACCGATCTAGTATGGCAAGCAAAGCGACACATGATACAAGCAGGTGTGGCGCGTGTAAGCTCTAAGGGTTTTGTACGAGCGCATACGCCTATCTGCTCTGCTCGCGCAACGTGCTGTGTTCCTTGTTGCCCCCAAGCTGTAAATGAAGCGGAAGAAATTCTGAAGGAAGAAGAGAAGGGAAGAAGAAGACATATCTGCTGCCGCGGTCGGAGCTGACATCGTTTTGCTCAGCAGCTGTGCTGACACACTTTAATATGCTGTTGCATACTTGATGCTGCACAATTGTTATTCTGATCCTGAGACCGATCATTCATGTAAGTGGAAACTGTCAGCAGCACTCGATGGCTGAGGTGGGGGCTTTTCAATGGCAACAGACAGCAGCGGTATCATCTTGAGAAGTTTACGATGCTAACATTATGCTGACGCAACAAGAAGCAGCTTTGATAGCTATAAACGATTTACAATACGGGAAACAAGCTCGTACAAAGTGAGCACGCGGTGAAATTTGGGGTTTCTACGTTTAGAGGGATTTCATAGATGAGTATCCTGGTCAGTGGGAGAAAGGATGTAGTATTGAAGTCAGCTAAAGCGAGCCAGACGGCCTTGAGATTTTTCGTTCCATGCGAAGTTGCTTTGGCGCTGCTGGTAACGAATAGAAGTGTGCATATTAAGCATTTCTTGTACTGTGCTGCACAAGCTTTGAGAGCTCGTTCGCATGAAATGTAAGACTAGCTGAGGGTTTTGTTGGCTGAAAAAACATCCATTAAGAAGTTTGCATATATCTGCTTAACACAACACCGCATATTGTCTTGCCTTCTGTCTATAGTCTACTTGTCTGGTATGTTGCGAGTACCCGCTGTTACTTATTGGTTGTCCCGACGAGCGTGACTGGCCGTCAAAGATAATACTTACTCGCTCAATCCTTCTTGGATACCGGCAACGACTTGTTGATACTGCGGAAATTTAGAAACATCACCAGAGTAAACGAGGCTAGGCGGGTTCTGCATAGCATCCTTTACGACTCGCTGAATATCTGCGGCTGTAACCTGGTCGATCTTAGCACACACAGACTCGGGCGTCTCACGCTCGCCATACGTAAGAAGTTGACGACCAATGTCTTCGTACAGGATCATACGAGACTCAAGGTTCATCAGCACAGATGACTTAAGCTGGTTCTTAGCACGAGCTAGCTCAATGGCATCAACTGATCGGTTGGCAACGCTGAGCATTTGGTTGCACAACAGTGCAACGAGGTTGCTTGTGTGCGATGGAATACAAGCACCATATATACCCAGGAGACCAACATCGGCATGGATGGATGAGAACGCAAAAGCTGACTCAACCCAGTAAAAGCGGTTTAGAACGCTCGTGTACAACCGCGAGTACATGCCCTTTCCTGGGCCACCAGCAGAAAAGCTGTCACCGCCGCCCAGCAACGTGTGCAATACACAAATGGGCACAAGGTCTTTGTCATGCCAACCACCAGTAGGAAATGCCAATGCGGCATACGAAAACTCTGACTCCGGGTTTGGAAGCGGGTACAATCCTCCCGTGTAAGTCACCGGTTTCAACGTTGCAGGATTTGACGGCGTTGCCATTGGTGTATCAGCGAGGGCCACAGACACATTTGCAAAGAACTTCTCCGCATGCTCAACCAATCGAGCGTGATCAACACCAGAGCCAGCAAGCACCATCTTCTGAGCGACAAAATGTTTAGCTCGAAATTGCTTAACCTTTTCAACCGTCAGTGCGTCAATCTTGTCAAGTGGACACTGAAGAGGCCGCCCAAGCGGCGTATCTGCCCCGTAAGCTGCAGCATGGATGAACTCCTGCAGCATGGCCGGTGGATTCTCCATTAAATTCTCCGACTGGATACGCATAATGGCCTTTATGCCCTCCATCTCCTCCGGAATTAGATCCACGTTAAGAATAGCGTCGGCTAGCAGCTCCAAGCCTTTCTCCACATTGTCACGCAGCAAGTCAATCGTGTAGATTATCTGCTCTCGGCCACACGAAGACGTCGTGAGTGCCCCAATGTCCTCAATCTCGTGCACCAACTGCGCATGAGAGCGCAACTTGGTACTTTTAAAGCCTAAGTGCTCCAACAAATGGCTTACACCTACACTATTCTCGTCTTCAAATCGACTCCCAGCGTCGATGAAAATGCCGAGCGTGGCCGCCTGACCGTATGTCTCCTGTGAGATGACGCGCAGTCCCGACGATAGCACAGAAATCTCCGTCTGAGGAGGCTTTAGTTGACTTGCAGGCTTTAGCTTTGGCAGTCCTGGTATTTCCTTCTCTAGCGACAGCTGTAACTTTCTTCCCTTATGTACATCTGGTCGCAAAATGTCTTTTGGATCCACGCTCTGCATCGGCGTGTGAGCTTGTGAAAACATACGCGTTGGTTTCGATAATAGCCGAGTATTCAACAAGCATCTAATCGATAAGTGCATAGTTAATGGTGCCGTACGACAAAGTGACTGAAGACTTCGTAGCGACACCATCTTCTTCTTCAGGTGCTTGTTTGCAAGATAATCGGCGGCTGAGCTCCGTCCACTATTTCATGTGTCAGACACTAACAAGAGCAAGGGTAATGTACCATAACCCCGGTACATTCATTCTTGTGAATTACATCATAAAGCCATGGCTGGTAAGCGGAAGAAGACTCATTGGAGTGTGCGGCGCAAGCAGAAGCAGACGCGTCGTGATCAACAGCAGGACGATGAACAGCAGAAGAAACAGAAAGACGACAATATTGACCGCCGTGTTAATACGTCCGAATCGATTCATCCTGGCTCTTATGCAGTGCACCGTGAGCACGCAATTCCCGACACGATATCGCTACCACCCAAGCGTCGTTATGGTCTGTGGTTGGCATTTTGTGGCAAGAGTTACAGTGGTATGCAGATCAATGAAGGTGTAAAGACTATTGAGGCAGAACTAGAGCGCGCTTTGTTTGAGGCTGGAGGTATCGCTCCAACAAACTATGGCTTTCTGCAGAAAATTGGCTGGAGCCGCGCAGCTCGTACGGATAAGGGCGTTCACGCCGCAGGTCAATTAGTAACGGCAAAGCTTCATGTGAATGATGACGTCATTTCGTTTGTTGCTAAGGTAAATGCTGCACTTCCTGAAGACATTCGAGTGATACAGATGGTCACTGTCACCAAACATTTCAACGCAAAATTAACGTGCGACCAGCGAACGTACGAGTACCTTGCGCCCACTTTTATCTTTGGAAGTCGTTCACGTCCTATAGCCTCAAATGATGCTGCAAAGACCGAAGATAACGCAATGACGCAATGCCCGCTAGATTTGCACAACTCGGAGGAAGGTTTTTACCGCAATTTGGTGGTAGATAACACGACACTGGAGAGTCACAAGGCTTTTCGAATGAGTAAAAAGATGCTGGAAGAGCTTAATCTCACGTTAAGGAAGTACGTTGGAACCCACAATTTTCACAATTTTACGTCCAAAATGGAGCCTACCAACCCTCAGGCAAATCGCTTTATCATTTCGTTTGAAGCTGACTGCCCATTTGTTCAAAATGACATGGAATGGGTGCGCTTGCGTGTGGTTGGACAGAGTTTTTTGCTACATCACATTCGTAAGATGATTGGCACTGCCGTGGAGATCGTCTCAGGTGTTGCTGACCCATCAACCATCGAGCGCGCTATGAAGTTGACGAAGATAGATTTGCCGAAAGCTCCGAGCGTGGGATTGTATTTGGCGCAAGCACACTTTGAGGTGTACAATATGAAGATGGCAGAATCCATTCAGACGACACACCCACCGCTTGATCTGAAGGACCCTGTGGTGGTTGAAGCAGTCGAGAATTTTAAGCGTGACTTTATCTTTGACCACATCATAAAGCATGAAGAACACACCCGTACGTACGCGAAGTGGTTGCGAACGATGGAGTTGCTGCCATTTGACTACCTTTCAAAACCTTATCTTGAGTGGAGACGCGAGAAAGAAGAGGAGACCGCTCGTGATGACCGTACAGGTAGGCGTGAGATGGCCAAGGTAGCGCGTGGAGAAATTGCTGCTCAAGTTGACAGCGGATTGGAGCCAAAAGCAGTAGCAAAAGCAGAGGCATTTATTGCTGACTGAACTTTAGCTAGAACCTTTGCAAGAGCTTTGGTTGTGAATAAAGTAAGGGTTCTCGTTACCGCAGATTTAATAGGCTTTGAACCAAGGCTCGTCGTATTGGTTGACTGTGCACAGGATATTGCAGTCTTTGACCACTACCGTTGCTTTGTTTGCATCAATAACAATTGGCAACGTTACTCAAAATCATCGGCATGGGTTGTTGAATTGCACTGCTCTGCTATCGTTTTGTGGAAGTTCCAAGAAAGCAATCTGGTCGTCGCGTATAAAGCTCTAGTCTTGGCTGGATATTTGAGTGTTTTTCGTCGTTGTGTCAAAGGAGATCAGACGTCTAGAGGTTGAGTCGAGATTTTTCAGATTAATGTGAAATGCGGTTGAAGGTGATTTAGCGCGTGGCCCAACCTAGGTCGCCAAAATCCAGAGTGTGCACGTGGACGATCATTGTGCGGCGCTAACCCCGGCAAGAGCTCAATTGTGACAACGCAAGATGGTAGTTGTCTCAGCTTCTTGGTTTCTCGCGTCACGAGGTTTTCAAACTTGTCTTTCATACGTAAAGCAAGGGTTTACAACTGAGGTGGCCACGCTAGCAAAAGATATGCAGAGCACGAAGTCCATAAGCAAAAAGATTGGTTGTTTCCAGGGATGCACAATCGTTGGAACCAGGCTCCTACTACTCACTCAGCATTTGTAAACTTATTTCAAATGGGTTGAGAATGGCGCGGGGTCGACGATTGCACGTGGAGAGCAGAAAAAACGATGCGCGCAAAGTCGGGTTGAGCTTTATTGACAATGACTACTCACAAATGTACCTTCAACAAATCCAAGTGGGCAGTCCGAACGTCCAAAGCGAGAAAATTGACAAATTTGAATGACTTAAAATACACGTCCAAACCTAAGTTGAAATCGTGTTGTGAGGAATGGAACGCCGATGACAATAACATTGTCAGAAGAGAATCACCAAGTTAAAGCTGCCACTAGATCCAGCTTGAAAAGAGCGCATTACGGGTCTCGACCAACAAGGAAGCCTGATAACCGACACGACCGTGTGGATAAAAGAGAAATATAAGCAGACAACTTGTACTCGCAATACTTGTCCTCGCAGTACCGGTAGCTACCTCAACTCCGCTGGATTTGGAACGAGGTGCATAATTGAAACCTTCAAAAGGCAGCAGCAACAAGTTTTCAATTTTAGGAGCTCCATCTATCTTTTCTTTCTTGACAGGATTTTGCCCGTCGAGAATGGGCCCACCATAGCGCGTCAAATAAGTGACCATCAGTATCTGCATCGCAAAGAGCAAAACACTGTATGCATATTCAAGTTAGAGCCAGTCTCCTTCCTATAGGAGAGCAACTCACACGTCATCATCCTAAAACTCAATCACGTCAGGCAACTCTGGCAGATTTGCCAGCTTTGGGCCGGTCGACTTGTCAGGTGATGAGGTGAATGATGGAAAGGAAGGTGGTCTTGCGCCTGACAATGAGGCTTGAGCATTCTCCTTCAAATCAGGCAGTTGCGGACCAATCATAGGCTCAGCTGGATTCTGGATGAATGGCGCCGGTGCCGGGCCAGCAATAGTGCCGAACGAATTCATCGCGCTCAGTCCAGCCACAAATCCCATGTTCGGACGCATGAATGTAGGTTGCAATCCCGTGGGTCCTCCGTAGCTGTACGGAGCAAGGTAAAACGGAGGATAAGCACCGAAGGTGGCTGCTAGACCGTAAGCCGGCATGTTATGCGGACCAGTTGAATATGATGGCACAGAAGGTGGCGGAGACATATGGTACATCGGTACCGGCATTGCTTGCGCGGAGGCGGCTGCACCTTCAACACGTCCAGTAGCAGAAACAGAAGCGACAGCAGTATCAGGTTCAGGAGAAGGAGTCAGGACAGCGCATGGTGCAGATGCGAAGGTAACCTGTTGTGTCGGGGCAGCTCCAGTTATAATGGTCGAAGGTGACACAACGGCCGATGCCGGAGTGGGCCTGAGGACTGCCGGCTGCTGGACTGTTTTCGTATCTGCTGGCTTTTCTACAATAACCAGTGCGTTCGAGATCTCAGCTTCAGCTTCGTTCGCGACAACAGCGTGCTCGGCTTCTCGCTCTTCCTTTCGGTGAATGCGTTCAGCAGGCAAAGTGTACTTTTCTTTTTTCTTTGACTTCTTTTTCTCCTTCTTTTCCTTCTTCTCCATCCATTCGCGCTCACGACGCTCCTCCTCTGCCTGTTTTAACTCTAGCAGCTTTCGGAATTCAGCCTTAGCCTGACGCTGCTTGGCCTTTTCACGTTTTAGTTTCTCCTTCATTTCTCGGCGCTGCTTCTTGTCACGCTTTTCCTGCTCTTCACGAGCCTTAGTCTCTTCACGAGCTCGCTGCTTGTCACGGTGGGCCCGTGCAAGCTCAGCTGCCTCCAAAGCCGTGCGTTCCTCCTCCTCCTTTTCTCTCATCAGACGCTTCTTTGCACGACGTTCAGCACGATACTTCTTCTTCAGCTGGCGCAGTTCTTTGGCCTCTGCAGTACTAGCGTCGGTTCTTTCAGTCTGTGTACTCCCAACTTCATCCATTTGTATAGGAATGTCTGCAGCAGAAGGTACTGCCTCCTCGTCCTCCTCCTCCTCTACTTCTTCTTCATCCTCACTTGCGTATCCATTCTGCACACTGCCAGCCTTATCGCTATTGCTTAAAAAACTCTTTTTGTGGCTCCTGGAGCTGCGCCGACTACGCAAGCTGCTGCGGCGCTGATGCGTATCTTCTAGCTCGCCCTCAACTTCTTCTCCTACAACCTCTGACTCGTCTTCATCGTAGATTTCGATGTCGCTCTCGTCACTGCCAGCGAACGAGCGAGTATGATTGTGGCTGTGACGCTTTTTCCGATAACGCGCGTCCTTGCGCATATCAGCAAGTCTTGCTGCCGCCATCTCGGCGTACAAATCTTTGTTGGACTCAAGCTTCTGCGCCCGTCGCTTCATGTTCTTTTCCTTCTCCTTGTGCGCTTCCCGCGCCGCAAAATCTTCGTCCACAAACTCAACTTCGTCATCTTCTTCTTCATCTTTTCCAGCATTTTTCACAACCACTGCTCCAAATCTACTCGCACCTGCTTCATCAAATAAAAACTGGTCACTAGCCAACGTCTTTGTTTCTTTACGTGAATCCAGCAACTCTGTATCTAATAACACTGGCTTTATAGCTTCTTCTACGCCGTCGTACTTGAACATTGTATCTTCATTTCCACAAAGTCCCCAATCAACGGGTTCATTCTTCTCGCTATTCCCTAGCTCTAATGAAGTATCAGACGTAGTTGTTATAGTCCTGAATAGTCCATCATGATCTGGAAAAAAGTGCTGAGCATCTTCTGTATCCGTCGATTGATCACCATTTCCATCATCTTGAGCGACAATTGGACCTGTATAAGCTCTTGGTTTACAATTCTCTGCTTCAAGATCGATATTACTTTGTGTACATTGAGTCAATCCAAGATTACCAACACTACGTCCTCGATCTCTTTTCGTATGAAACATCATCATTAATCCCATCCATTTCATCTTATCAGTTCCAGATGGAGCAACACATTGAAATAGTTTTTTATCTCTTGTTTCAATGACAAAAGCGTGTTGATAGCGATGAAATCCAGTTTTTCCATTCCAATCACTGATACATTTTAGTTGATAAATACTTGATGGTTTCTCAGGACGTGTATCATAAGCTTTACGACTTTTATAACTTCGTAAGATTACACGTTTACGTTCGTCACTATCGAATTCCAATGTCGCAACACAATATCGATCATGCATTACTGGCATTTTAGCTAACCGTTTTTTTAAATAACCTTCCATTACTAGAAAAAGTAATGGAGATGCGAGTGAAGGAGTAAAATACAAGCGAGTTTTGGTAATTTATTCAAGTGCGATGACTTCTTGTATGAAATTTATCAATGTGATGTTAACCCAAACACAGCTTTGACTGACGACTGACTGAGGATTAGAAAAAAGTGAGAAAGGGTGTGCGTTTGGAATCAGAAAACCGGACAGGATATATAATCATACAGTTTTGCTAGCAAAAAAAGTTTATATTTGTTTGCACCTAAATATTTGACTTTAATATTAAAAGTACTACGAACTTAGCGTTAAGTATATGTTTATCAAGCGAGAATGTCAAGGACGAAGCATGAATATTTACAGATTTTTTGTCAGATATTCTTATAATCATATGTATGATGAAACTGGATGCTGCTTCAGAGAAATGTCTGCGACATGCGACATCTAGAACCAGAGAGACAGCTGACGTGAAAATATTTAATGTTGCTCTAATGTTTACTTCATGACTGCTCGTCTATAATGGGTACAGTTCATGGAGATACACATGCTAGCTACTTCACTCGATTCTTTGGGAAAGATACGACCAGACGAGCGTCAATAAAACCGCCGATTTGTTTAATTACGGTCAGTATTCATTTGTAGTTCTTACGACTGCTACCGAATGCATTACACTGCCTCGATGACGTTATAATGCGGTAAAAGAAAGTACGTCCAGCAATGACAAAGTGCGTGGGGTAAGCCAGACATTAGACAATGCACGAGATAGTTCGAATTGCTTGAACTACTTGTCATGCATGCAAAAGTGTTACTTTACGGTTAATGTTTCTAATAGAAACTAAATGAAATGCAGGATATATAATTCATCAAATAGCACTTGACTTGGCCATCACACTGTGATATACTGCAACGATATTGTCTCTCTCTAGCTTCAACGCATCTGAAACGATTAAAAAAATTGAAGCGTGATAGATAGCAAAGACTCAGCAGATGTCGACAGCATATTGTATGCATGAATGCTTTCATCCTTATAATCCACTTAATGTAGACAAAAATACATTAGTGCTAGTATCTTCTATTCAATAACGTCAAGTGCTTCAATCACAGCCAACCTTCTCATTGCAATGTAGGCAATCAACAAGAGAATAGATGAATATATTGTGGAAATGCGTCGATGTTAAAGCTTATATAGCCAATTAGTAAAGCGTACGGCCGCAAATTTCACCTTGGCTAGGGTCCTTAAGCTACTGAAGCCCACTGCGCTTGACTGACACAAAGCATGCATCGAAGAAGTTCCTCCTGTTCAGCAAGACACTGACTTATCGAGCGAGACGATCGAAATCGGTTGGTAACCTTGTCACGGCTTAGGCAACCTCCAGAATTACACGACTCCCGTCCACTACGTCTCTTGCTGTGCTTTTGAGCAACTTCATGTAGCACACCACCGGCAGTTCCTGACTGTTGTTGGAGCTCCGACATTGGCATCATGTCTACCGTGTCGATGACCTCGGTGATCTCCAACGTATCGTCTGACGACTTGGGAGTCGGCGCTCGCTTTTGCAAATGACGTCGGCTCATTGAATACTGGCCAGACATGGAAAGCTTCTTGTACAGCCTGGACTTGGAGCTCCTCGCCTTTTCATCAAGTATTGCCACATCGTCGTCAATGACATCCAAAGTCACCACAAACGGCACATCATCCTTCTCCGTGCTGTTATCGACTTGATGAGTCCACGATGACTGAGACGAGGAAAGTGAGCTAGCAAGAAGCGATCGCCCGGAAGCGTTTAGCGACGCCTTGCTGGCATCCTCCGAGTCCGTCTCAGACCAATTGGACTCGGAATTGTACGACGCTGTTGCGTCCCACCATTCGGGTCGAAAGCAGCTGTGCTCCATAATACTGCTCGCCTCTTTTTGCAATTTGCAGTCTTTGTTCTCGAAGCATAGATCTTGAACGCTGATAGCATGCGTGGTCGAGGCCGAACGCTCTAGTCTTGATACTCGCGCCTGCGACGCTTCGCTCCGTCGACGAATTGCGAACACGCAAGCTGTGCAGAAATGCGTTTTGGCTACCTCGAACACGCGTGACGTGTTGGTGACGCCACGTGGTACATATCGAATGGTCACACATTGGTGGCAAAAGACGTCTCCACAAAGTCGGCAATGGTGACGGTGGCGCATTGCAGCGCTGAAGGGAAGATGACAGCTTGCACAGGCCTTGCGTGAGTCGTTGGGTACCCATTTTGTCTTGCACATGATCCCCCGCTTCAAAATATGTTTCGAGTCGATAGAGAGGGACATGTCGTTGTAAACGCGTATGAGCTTCTTATAGTGCTTCGCACTGACGGATGGACCGGCAAAGTTATTCTCGCTCATAATAAAAAGCTGTGTCGCGTCCGAAGATGAACCCGCCGAGCGAACAATGGAGACGCTTTGCGTCTTGATGCGCTTGATCTTCAAAGGGCTATACAGATCAGGACATTCGTCGATCTCAACCGGGAGCGTCACTCGGACGCCCACATTACGACCGAGCTGATCCTTAGTGTATGTGAGGTACTCCAGAAAGCAATTGTCTTGCTTGCGACCAAACGGTGAAGGTTGAAGGCATGTCCATTTGATACCCATATACTCATGTGTCTTGCCAGAGTCTTTTGTGTGGATGTTTTTCAGTACGACAGCGTCAACTACATAGCCGTACATGAATTGATTGGACTGGAAAAGCTCATGGGACGTCTCCGCGTAGTGGAAATCCATGAAATTTCGGTAGTTGCCGTGAATACGCCCATAGAGACGGAACTCGCTGTGCAAAATTCTCTCAGGTGTTTCTCTTCGGATGGCGGTCAGGAGGTTTTCAGTGCCGACTGGAACCCAAGGCGCGCTGTAGATCGGGTAGGCTCCTTTGGCTTCGTGCTTTTCGTATTCTACCAAAGCGTCTTGGACAATTTTCTTGACCTGCATCTCATAGCCTTGTGTCTGTTCGTCCGTGAGCTCGAGTTCTGGAAAAAAGTCTTCAGGCACTGGGAACGTCTTTGCATCATTCCTGTTGGTGTGACATGAAAAAAACAACGAGATTGGCGGTTAGTTATCGGAGCCCTTGACAGCTCCTGAGTTTACTTTTCCTACCAAGATAAGGTGCGTCCGCGCCTAGATGATAGCATGATGGAAAATCGAATACTAAACTAATCTCTAACGATTGCCCTCGAAGCCCTGCGATCCCCTTTTGAAAGCTGCAGGGCTATCGAATGGATAAGCTTAACATTTCGCTGCGAGTGGACACTCTCACCGAGAGACAGACGCGCCGGTACGTCCAGCTGGGGCAATTGCGACCGATGTGCTTCAGATGAGTCGCAAGACATCGTGACAACGTAGCCCGAGCACAAATGATTGGTATATAAGTTTAATGCGTTTATTGATACGCAAAAGCTTTTGCTGAAGCACTGTGCAAGACCTCAAAGGTTTTTTTCTAACAGTTGCTGTGGCTTGCAATGGCTAAGCTGAATAAGTCTTTCCTATTTCTCGTCAACAAACTGGTATGTTTAAGGCCTCTTCTTATTGAGGTTCATGCATTGCATGGAGAAGAGAGTTCCATAACGATATTGTCATATTTGACAGGTCACTAGGGCACACAACTAATGAGCATTTGACCATCGGATTATTATTTATATTGGTAAGAACAACGAACAGGTAAAAGACACTTAAAGCGTTACGATCTATTACAGCGTTTCGCTCTTCACGTCCAGCCCTTAGATTTGCACGTAGAGGTTGGTGGTTGTTTTATATCAATACGGTTGCAAGGTCATAGTTCCATATCAATACGGTTGCAAGGTCATAGTTCCATATCAATACGGTTGCATGTTGAGCAACCGTGCATGTTGAGCAACCGCATTGATATGGAACTATGACCATCATCCATCCTAGTGAAGGCTAAGATTTATTTCGACAATCTCGTGTCTTGTATACTGCTGTACTGCTGCTTTCATCACTCACCTCTCCATTGATGCCGTCAAACGTGGTCTCTCATTTTTTTTTGCTGTTCGATGCTTCCTTTTCGTGTAGCAATTGTAGAACTATGAAGGCAAAAGATGCAAGGACATATGTTGCCTTGACAATTTGCGATAAAAGTATTTCACTTGCAAGAAAAACCGGTGTTATGAGGGAGAAAGTGCTGCTGGTCATTTACAAAGCACCTACCAGGTAAGAAAAGGTGATAGCGTTCGTAGGTTTTTTGAAGAGTATAATGACATCCGTCCTAGATTAGACACTTCAAGCAACATAAGATCAATTTAGAGCAGGTGCAAAAGCTAGTGCGACCGTTCTGACGTTGCATGGACACAATCAATAGCCTGTCGGCACGTGTTTTAAGCAAAGCACTCCAGAAGTCTGATTCATTCCCCGGTATCTCTCTCAAGACGCAGACATCGCATTTGAGCAATTCGATGAAGCAACACCACACGTCGATGTACAAAGAGGAGGTACGACACCAATATGTTTAGGTCATGTACAAAAGTTTTAGAATACACGGACTGAGAATCGAGAAAGAGCCTCGGCGGTCTCAGCTAAAGGCCAACGTCTAATGGTGTCGTAAGACTTCATGTTGAAAACTGTTTAAGCTCAATATCGGCCGGGGATGTCTGGGCAACCATCGGCAACCATCTATGAATGGGCAAGGACTTTACAGTTGTTATTGCAAGGCGTCAAATTGGTTGCAAAGCCCATTATGACTTGAGATAGTCAAGTTCAAGACGGAGTGAGACCGCAGTGCCACGACCGTGTTTGCAAACTGATGATCAGTAGAGTATAGATAAAGTCAATACAGGCTAGATTTTGCACATGCCGGTCGAAAGCACCACAATGGCATTACGCCGTCGGGTTTGTAAGAAAGGACCGAGCATAAAGCTTTAGCGACAACGTTCATACGTTCATAGTAGCCACTTAGTTTCGAGAATTCTGCATATCGAGGGTTACTGAATACTAGAGCATGCATTTAAGAATGCATGTTCTAGTATTCATTAGTACCTGTCTCTTCACGTGAAAGCAGTATTGGTACTTCTTTCGTGTAATAAGGTGGTTATTATCATACGTCTGGCAACATGTTTGTCCCGAATATGACACCATTTCTCACTTTTTCACCTTGTGAACAAGCACAAGAAAGCGTAAGTGATCATGCTACAAGATAATAATTCGATACCGTCTACTCAACACTGTGAAGTGGAGAATGGCAACCACAGAAGAACTGGGTACTTTTCATTCTTTGCAATCCTGTTGCGTTTCAGACGTGAACGATTTCACACGTGACTTAGCGTCAGTATGATAGGAAAATGCTACCGGAGCCACGAGACCAAGGTCTGATCTCTCCCCACCTTGTGTATAGAGGAGACTTTTAGCGAAAGGCGCAGACAAGGCAAGTACATTGTTACAAGGACAATGTGTGCATTGCAGTGTTGCAGCATTGCACACGGTGGACGGGCTAACTACAACCGTGCACAACGCTCCGTATGAGCATCTTAAGAGATCTGACACATTGGAAAAGAAGCAGTTAGTGGCACAACGTTATCGTCTAGACACAATCCGCACCACTGCTTTGGCATTAGTTGATGCCTAGTAACCGTATTAATATATCAAACATGAACGCTAGCAAATTCCCTTTGCCGGATGGATATTTTCCACCTGTCAAGCTCACTCCTGGTGAAATTGAGGTCTATGAGCGACGCGTGGAGATTATCATGAAAAATGCCTTGGCCGAATACAACTTGCATGAAGCTATGGGAGCTCGACCGGACTATGGATCACGATGGAGCGTTGTGGGAAATGTTGAGCACCTAATTGCAGTTCGTGAGGTGGACCCATCAAGGTCCGTTGAATCTTCACGCGTCTTTGGACGTGTTGACGGTGATTATCGCAACTTCATTGACTTTCATTATTCGGTGACAGCTCAGGAGGTCTTTGCAGTAAACCAGTTCATGTTTGGATATGCAGTAGATAGCGCTGTGCTATGCAACATTCATACGAAAGAAACGCAAAAACCTCATTTGTATCTCGGTATGAAGTGGGTTTGTTTACAGCCGTCAAACCTCTCACGCAAGCGCGATATGTGCTTTCTTGAGTATCTTGTTTACACGAAAGATCTCCAGTGTCGAGATGTTGGCGTACGTATTACTCTGCCATTGCTCCTGGATGAGTGTCCGCCGCTACCTGAAAAGTTGAAGACAAGGCGAGTTCATGCGCATACGGTGACTATCGTGCGCCCAGCGAATGAAAGCGCCGACACAACTCAGCTATTCATGACAAGTGAAGTGGATATGTACAAGGGATCAAACTCCACGTCTATTGCGTCGTTCAAGAAGCTCATGACGACATTGAGTTCTATGGCATTGTTCGCCGACTCTAAACGCATATCAGTGTATGGTATGCTCGATCGCCGTAGCTGGGCGAAGAAAAAGACGCGTACAAACTGCTTCGTGTGCGACCGCAAGTTTTCGACCACGCGACGACGTCAGCACTGTCGTCTCTGTGGCGAGTTGGCTTGCCGGCGTTGCATGATGGTTCGTGATGCCCCAGCTGTCGATGGCAGCACTGCTACGACGTCACGTACCTTTCAGGTAGTAAAAACTGTGTTCTGTAAATCATGTATAAGCAAGGTTCGTGATTTAGACGTCAAGAATATCGCTGCAGCTGACAGTCAAGATGAAGGTCTGTCTGACGCGGAGTCCGCGGGCTGGTACGCGAACAAGAGCTTTGACAACGAGAGTAATTTTGTAGTGTGTGCTGGATCATCGATTGCGTCGATTTCACCTGCTGACGTGAGGTCTACTAACTTTGGTCTGTCACAAAAAGACACCTTTGAAGATTTTGAAGATGAAGCAAGTTCTGTTGAAAGCATCAGTCCGCCACAGATAAAGTTTTCAAGTATCCTTGACTTGGAAGTGCAATCCGAAACAAAGACTAGCGTTACATCTTCGCTAGACGACGAGACTGAAGTTGAAGTTACAGACGCTGCTGCTCCCATGATGATTGATTTGCGCCATCTTCGAACGATGGCGGGAGCGGAGCGTGTCGTGCAAGAGGTTGAGGAAGAAGAACTTCGGACGATGCGGGAGTCTCTTGCAGCATTGGACTTTAAAGCTGTTCGCCGCGTGGATTCACGGTCAAGTGCAGACAACGAGTCATTTTCCGGTAGCGATAGCGGCAAGCTGCCGCTAATGGAGGAGGCGGATGAAGATGAGCAGGATGTAATCGAAATTATTGATGAGTCGAATCAGATCGTATCTACAACACGGCAGGTCGTGTCGTCTCCATTGGATGGATCACCCCTAACAGAACAGTCGTTATTTGGGTCTCGATCAAACGTGACGATCGATCAGCGACTTCAGGAGCAGGAAGTGTTATTGAAGCGTTTAGTAATGGCGGCGAATTCGTCCGCTGGATACTATCCGTCCAATTCCCGCGGACAGTATTAAGCGCTTAGGCATTAGCAAACCACAACAGTAGTTATTGTTGGCTTTCTATAGACATTAAAGTAAATATGCGGGGTCAATACGCACTTCAGACGTAGTGTTAGGGCTTTTAAGCGTATTGCAACATCTTGGATCAATACTCTCTGATTGAGTTCTTCGTATCACAAAAATATTATACCTAGTCATAAGTTCTGTACATTCTGCGCTGGCAATTGATGGCAAGAAATCACCGGTAGCTGCTCTTCTCATTGATAAGAGTTTCGTAATGTATTATAAAGAGATTGATTTGGCAAGATATTCGTAGTCCGATCTCAACGCTTGTCAAACGACACGGATGATCTGTGGTCAAATTTGCAAACAGTGCGAGGTCATCAAGCATCATTACGTTCATTTGGCGACCAAATCATCTCAACTACTCAAAACTAGATAACGAACAAGGCAAGAGTACCAACAATGAAGTCAATCGGTACATCTTGGCGAAGGTCAACAACATCATTCCGAATCAACGACAATGCGTCAATAGCGTTGCCTTCAAGGATTGGTGGTACCAGTCATAGAGATGGTTGAAAATTTTAGACTGCAAGAAGTTGAGGAAGTTCTGATAGTCGTAGTCCATCCTGGATTTGCTGCTTGTCCGTACACCAAACTGTCTTTGCTGTAATGGCCAAAGATTGAACTTTTATGGCCGTACGCTGTCGCCAAGTGACATTACAAAGATGATAGGCTTGTCCAAGGATATGCATACATATCTTCGATTTTAGGTTGTGTGTATTTCTGCTCATAGCATGCTTAGTAATTGGTTTACTATCACCGCTGTCTTCGCGATGGAGGCCTCGAAATAATGCTAACGGAAGACGATCACAGTTCATAAACGCTATCTTCGTGTCTATAGTCATCGTCTTCATGAATGCTCCCGGTCACGGACGACGCTTTGTTGCGCACCAGAATTTCAGGGTTCACTCCACGGCTGGCGGACAACACTTGCTGCAGGAGCTCATTCTGCTCCGCAATGCACTGGTCCAGCGACTTTGGGGTAGCGGATGTATCAGAAACGTCAGTACTACGCGTGCGTCGATTAGTCGGTGAACGCGCCGGCATGGTCGCGGGCGCCACAGGCGTCGAAGTGTACCGATTGCGCACGGTGTTGGATAACTCGATGAAGAAGTCATCGTCGGCCAAGTCCGTCGAGTCGGACTGCTCGTTGCGAAGCTGTTTCTCAGGCACCATGTCTTTCGTGTCAATCACCTCGTAGATACTCGAGCGCTCATTGACGCGGTCGTCAATGCGTTCGCCGCCGACTTTACGCGGAGTTTCTAAAGACTGTAACGCCAAGAAGGAGTTCCTACAGAGTGAATACTCAGAATTAAATGATGAACGCACAGTGGGGGCGACACTGTAATTGCGCGACATAGAGCTGAGGCGACCAGAATCTGACTGCCAACTGCACGTATCCGACTCATTATCAGACCACCAGCGAGATGCATTAGTTTGCTGTGACTGGGAACCTCGCGTCACCGGAGTAAGGATGGAAGGTTGTGTGGAAGATCCACTTGATGAATGATGGAGCACCGTAGAGGACTTCGAAGAGGCCAGAGACCGACGAGTAACCTCGATCTGCTCTTGTACAGCCTCCACATTTTCCTCACGGGAGCGGCTGACGCACACCTTGCAGAATAGTGACTGTACCACACGGAATGTGCGTTGATTAGTCGTCGCAACACGATTACTGGATGTGATATTTTGCTGTCGGATGCCAGCTCGACGAACAAGGCACTTCGTGCAGCACGCTTTACTGCACATCTGGCAGTGACGGCGTCTATGTCTACCTCGAAAGGGCTGAGAGCAGCTTGTGCAGCTCTGTTGAACACATGTGCTAGGCACCCAAGGTCGAATAGAATCTACTGCTGCGGGAGATTCGCCGCCATCTCGCGCATGATCCTTGTGTCTAGGCGTAATAATAGCAGTTGCAATACACTTGGCATCTGCGGAGAGAGATACGTTCTTCAAGGCTCGCAGCAGCTTTTTGCAGTATTTCGTGGAAGCCGTGAGTCCTTTGTTTTCACACTGGCTCAGCATGAACACCTGACTCGCATTCGGGTGCGAGTCTGACGCGCGCACAAGAGTAATTGTTGTGGTCTTCTCGCGATTAGTCTTCAGCTCGTTAGGAAGTGGTGGGCACTCTGGAATATCTACGGGCAAACGCACTATCGCTGCGGCGTCGCGACCCTGATCGTCCTTCTTGAACACAATGTACTCAAGGAAACATTCGTCACGCTTGCGCATGAGCATTGAAGGCTGCATACACGTCCATTTGATACCGAGGGTCGCTTGTTTGTCCAAGTTGTCCACGTTTAAATTGCAGAGCACAGCAGCATCAACTGCACAACCGAAAAAGAACTGGTTCCAAGCGAATAGTTGCTCCGATGTCTCGGACGAGAAAAAGTCTACAAACCGGCGAAAATCCCCTTCTACTGTTCCAAATGTACGCGTAAGAGTGCTAGATCCCAGTTTACAGCGCACAATCGACAAGTCGACGTCATGTGCAACGTCCTGCCAGCGTCTTTCATCTTCCAGACCAAAGCCGGCAACGCGAGATTCGTGGTCGTTGCAAGACTCCATTGCTTTAGTGACCATATCTTCTACCTGGGCTTGATACTCCTGTACTTGGGATAGCGATAGACTCACTGGGGGGGAAATAATTAGCTGGAAGAGGAAATCGAAGCTTATCGGGATGGAATCTGCAATAGAATGGATTTAATCGACCAACAATACAAAAGTTACGTGAGACGAGTGCCGTGCAAAGCCGTTTCAAACTTCAGGTATCTAATTCGACTAGTGAAGCAACTTACATTGATGCAGTGGATCCGATTGATACCGTACGTGGCATCGAGGAAGACGACTTGCGGGGCATGGTGGTAGTTAATAACTAACAATGAAGTGGTACTGAGCATTTCAACGAAATTTGTGCGATCGTTTGGTCGCGATCAAGTTACTGCCACGTTTTGAGGTGGTGGACCGAACGAACGATACAACTCCACACAAGGACACAAACTAAAGTTAATGGGCTCCATCCGATCGAGTCTGCGATACCATGACACTCACCACGCTGTACCGGCTGTTTTACACAATGTAACGCATTGAGTATGCCATTGCTTAGGGCCGAACAAAACAGCTCGGTTATAGTGTTTTGTATTGCATGGTCACGATAAAACGTTACCGGATACTCAACGGCAAAGCTAGAATATGCTGTTTGATAAGATCGATCGTTTGATTGAAGGATCATGGACCAATGATCCGCTCGAGCGTCTCACATAATCTGGAGAATTGATACTATTTGTAAGTATTACTTGTACTAGGCTTCATGGTTATAAAGGTTTATTGCGGGCTAAGGCACTACGAGACATTTCCATATGCAATGATTATTAAATTTGTCAGGCACATGTGAAATCAGCAACTACTACCCCTACTTTAGTAGCCGGTTTTCATGTGTTTTTCATCTGTGGATTGAATCCAAGACAGCAAGTCAATTTGACGGACCGTCTGTCTATCTACCGATACTTACAGGACAGTGGGTTATTGTTTAGACTGTCGGACTAACTTTGGCGAAGGCATCATCAAATATGCAAAACATATAGGATCTTAAGGCTGTGAAAAGTAGGTAGCAATGACGCCATGAAATTTTGACACGTGCAGTACCACTTGCGTCAGAAATATCATAAAGCCGCAGAGCCACGTTAGGCTAGAAGATCATAAACGTGCGCTTTGCAAGTAAAATATTCAGACAAGTGGACACTGGTCCTCGACATAGTGGGTCCTGTGGATTTGTATCTAAAAAGAGGCGGTGAGATTAGAGGTTACATGACTGTAGCCTTTGGTAGGAGGTGTACGAGACGTTCCTAAAAGTGCTTGCTTGCTTACGATCGTCGCGTGTTAAGATTTGGATGCACCAAAATACGACAAGTATTTATGTTCATCCTCGTTCGAACCGGCATGATGCATAGTCACTAGTCGTTCCATGTAACGTCCCGCAAGTTCATCAGTGTGCTCGGCGTGACCAGAATATCTACGGCATGGATTACAAATTGTTTGTCAAGAGGTCCACTAAAGAATTTGTCTACCAAAAACTAGAGCTCTAAAATATATCTTGTTGCAAGAAGTCTTTGTAATTATGCGACCACGTTGGCTGCATCTTCTCTTACGTTCGAAGTTCCTTTACAATGCCTATCGTCTTTTTGTCGTCTGTCGATTTTGGTTTACACTAGAGAGAAGAGATACAGAATGTCTATAGACTATTTGGACACGATTCCTACTAGCATAGATAAGAATGCTGGCGTCGAAGGGCGCGACGTTATGTCAGGGATCTCCTCATGTAAAGATAGTGAGGATCTTGATGCGCGTGTAAACTGGAGCCAAGGATGACAGCGTCCGCCTTGTGGAGGTCATGTCTGGTGATGGCTTGACACTGCTAGTCTGCCGCAGTCCAGTCAAAAACGGCCTCTTCCTGTGCCGTCACCAATTCGCCGCGATAGACAAGATATCACGCTTGTGTTTTTTTGCATTTAGATTTGTGCAAACGCAATCTACAAAGCGCTGAATACGCAAGATGCGCACTGGCTGTCAGGATATCACTTCCATCAGATGTAGAGTTAGCGTCTTCCTATGCTTCATTGTCATCTGGTTGCAGAACATAAGCATTGATGCTGCCGCGAGGTGAAATGTATCAACTTGAGCTTCGGCAAACACGCACGTTTCGCAACGCACTATCATGTTGGCCTTTACATTGATTAGGATACGCTTCCTTAAACGGACAACACACTACGCTTTACATTCCAACAGAAAAGGCTTGGGACTGGAAACAATTGCGTATGCCTTACAGAAGTGCGCGAATTTACTGACATGAATCGTGTAATGAAGTTGCAAGTCGTAGAATCATTTGGTTGTTGATGTAGCTCCTAAAGCACAGTTGGTCTTGGCTATCTATCCTAACCAACTCTTTCAAGTTGAGTTTTTGGATGTGGGCTGAGAAAGGACTTCCTACTTGGATGATTGAGAATGAAACATATTGCACACTAGACTTCAGAATGCAATGCGAAAGCAGAGGACATGTTGTTCCGACGATTGTATCAAACTTAAAAAATATGTTAATAATGCTTTTGCCTGTGCTAGCCCTCATAGAGTGTTACATCGGGACGCGACCAGGTCAACTGAGCACCACGGGTAGAGCAAAAGCTCTCACTTCCTGGATCTGTAGCGGTGTTCTGACGGTGCACTCCACTGGCAGAGAGTATCATGCGCCGCAGTAGTTCTTCCTGCTCTGCGAGACATTGGTCAAGGGACCGCGGGGAGTTCTTGGAACCGGGCGAATGCCAACTTGAGCCACTGCCTGAGCTTGTTTTGCTACAGTCGCTATCCACTTCTTCATTTGATGAGGTTCCACTTCGATTTAAGGCATCGATGGACGAGACCGGCATCATATCTGTCGTGTCAATAATCTCCGCCACTTCCTCTTCAATAAGTTCATTGGCGGTCATTCTTGCGTCCGCAATAGTGGCCACAGATCGGTCTCTGATCATATCAAGCTTTGATACGAAATGCACCTTGTCATCAAATAAAGTAAAGTCCGAGGCTGATTTTGGTGACGATTGCAGTGATTGTGATGTCTCACTGCTTCCCGTTTCGGAGAAGTAAGAATTCTGGCCGCCTTCAGATTCAGTCTCAGAGATGGTCGAGTTCCGGAAATCAGCAAAATCGATATCGTCGCAGTCGACAACGGATAACTTGCCGCTTGGTAAAGGTATCGGCACCAACATGTTCTTACAAGATTCACGCATCTTCGTCACACAAATAACGCAAAACTTTGTCTTGACGATCTCGAACGTCCTCTCTGCTTTCGACGTGGTGTCTACTCCCTCGTCCTTACGGGCGTTACGAACGATGACACACCGTCGGCAAATGAGGTCTCCGCACAGTCTACAGTGATGGCGGTGACGAGTCGGTCCAAACTTGCGCGAACACACTCTGCAACATTTGCGCGAACCAGGCTTTGCCCAACTCTTCCGCGCCATTACTCCCTTCATCAGAATTCGTCGGGAATCTACAAAGACCGACATGCTCATGAGAATGTTCATCATGCGCTTGTAGGAACTTGCGGTGACGGCTAGACCGTTGAAATTGTTGTGCGAGAGCATGAAAAACTCGGTGACATTGGCGTTGCGGTCAGCAGGTCGGGAGATCCAAACTGTGCTCAGTCGTACACGCTTTGTCTTGAGCTTCTTCGGCAACTCCGGGCACTCAGGGATGTCCAGCGGCATCGTCACCTGGATGCCTACGTCACGGCCTCGTAGATCTTTTGTGTAGATAAGATACTCCATGTAGCAATTGTCTCGCTTCTTGACAAGCTGCGACGGATTCAAACATGTCCACTTGATGCCCATGTACAAACACTTTTGTTTGGACGCCACGGTGTATATGTTTTTGAGCACAGCTGCGTCCGTGGCATATCCAAACATGATCTGGTTCCACGCAAATAGTTCGGCTGATGTTTCAGCGTAGAAAAAGTCAATGAATTGGCGGTAGTCGCCATTTATGCGGCCAAAGATACGTGCTGTGCTGGCCGTAGAGCTGTCGGGTGTGTCCTTCTTGATCGTAGTGAGACCTTCCACCTTGCTCACAAGACTCCAAGGCGGACGGTAAACGGGATTCAATCCTTTTGCTTCATGCAGTTCGTACTCAGTCAATGCGGTCTTGACAATATCCTGCATCTGTGACTCATAGTTCTCTATCTCCTTTGCCGTGAGGTGAATCTCTGGGAAATATTCGTCCGGCAGTGGAAAGTGGTCTCTGTTATTGTGCATGTATGAACCGAGTTTTCTAAAATGAGGAAAGAAGAAAACAAGAGAACAAGCATGCGTTAGTAAAGTTGCAGGCCTGCTACAACAAACTACCTATGCTGCGTCTGACACGAATCGACTACAACTGTTCAGTTCTAGCGTACCGACCTAAAGAAGTTTTGTTTTCAACCAAAATGCTGACAAGAAACGCAATCTAATGGTGGGTCGATGGATTACTTACTGACTATTGAACCAAAGGCCTCTTGCTCTTGAGCTTGCCAAGTTAAGAGTGATGAACTTGGGTCTTGTCAAACACCACATCTTTTAAATTCAACGTGCTTCCCATCTGGCACCACAAGGTGTGGGACGTTTATCTCGGCCATGATAGCCTGGGATGCGTACTCTGTCAGCTGGTGAGCCTTGTTTTTTTCCATCGTGCTTGAGATTGATTTTTCATGTGCTAGAAAAACAGCTTGTCCCTGACAAGTTCTTTGCTTTTGTGGCCAAGGCTACGATCATACAAAACATGTTGAGCACTAATGTATGTAAATGGCACATGAATGAACCAGTGAATGATTGAAGCTGAAGCTATGTTTACTGTCGTATCATCATCCCATTAACGTGTTGAAAGACTTGAGATATATGAGAAATTGAATTACAAACAATGCTAAACTTGAATTACTCGCTCTATCTAGTCTTTAACGAATTCATTACTTACTTCCTATACACACGCAGGTGGACAGCCTTGCGTTTGCATTGAGGTTTGATAGAAGATTTGTTATGCTTGTAATGGTACGTTACAGGACACAATCACCTTACTAATATTCTTCTGTAAATTACTAAGCTTTGAGTTATAGGTTCAACTGTAGCAAAGGAGCTACAAAAGAAAAAATGCCAAGCTTTTCCTTTCAACGATGCTTTTCTTCGTGTTTTGTTTACTTTATGAGTAAAAACCTTGAGAATACAAAGAGAGAGCGGTAGTAGAACAAAACAGATCAAGTGATCAAGTGATGAATGAGACTCGTGTGTGTGTGTGTTTTTTTTTCCATCCATCCCTCCGTTCTGTTTATGAATGGATTCAACAATGCTATGGACGAAATACGTCACACCAGGTACGTCGGTCTCTTCTGCCAAATATCACGCGTTTTACGCGGACTCAAGTAATGAATGATAAAGATTTGGCTATCAAGTAAACAAGAAGTAGAGTGCTTACCCACAATGGCGCAAGGAATGGCAATTGTGGATGTGGCTTCCGAATGTGAGGTCCCACTTTGTTATTGACAGCAGTTTCAGACTTATCGTCAATATAGCTTTCTTCGAGCGTCAATTGCTTGCTACCACTGATCAATACACTCCTCATCAACAATATCTTACAGGTCACACACTCATATGTATCTGATGTGAACAGACGCTTGAAAAAGACAGCCAGGTGATGCATTTAATAATCAAGCAACTAGCGGATATCCATGATGTTGTCTCGTTTGTGGCGAATATAAAGTCCATGCCTAAAACAACGATGCTATATGCCGTACATGTGATGACAGAAGCGAGTGACGCCAGAACTTCCGGTCTAAACGCAAGCGAATATCCTGTGCACGGTACATAAGCAAGCAGTCGTATCAGCATGACAAACACGCTCTTTCCAAAGTCAGACACAAAAAACGAAACTGATGAAGCCTTTTTTGCAACAATGCTCACTGACGCAATGTCCAACAACGAGATGTTCCTATGTCACAACCTTTGCGCGTAAACAACCACCTTCTTTTCACAATACATGTTTGCAACGTTTCAAGGATATTTGGACGCGTGAGTATCATACACGAACCACAACAACGAAGCAAGATTGCTACTGATGCCGTAACACGATTGCGCTATATTGCTAGTCCAATAGCTTTTAGCATGTTATAGCTTCAGTAGTAGATGTTTTCCAAGCCAAAAATGGTCATAATAGCAATGGACTTTCATAGACCAAATGGCAACTTCGTTATGATTATTTGGCGACAAAGGTCTTGACTAGATACATTAAAGAGAGGGAGACAATGCAAGTACAGCGACTCTTTAACACAGAAAAAGCGCTGCAGACCGACGTGTCTTTACAGCAATATGCTCTTTGCTCGTCATTTGCCCACTGCGTCGTCAAAAATGTTGAGTACATGCGTAACTATTAGGCATGACGTGCGCAACCAGAAAGCAACTACTAGACAACACTTAGTGCGCTGCACAACATCAACAAGGCGCTAAAGATCCTTCAGCAAAACAAGGAATGTAAGCCATATCACTCGCGTATTCAACACTTCTCACGGTATCTCCTACATTTCGTCTGTCCTCACACCATAGCGCTTCCATTTTTACATCATCAACGTCGGCGCTTGTGCCCTCCTTCTATACTTTATCTCCTACAAATCCGGAAAATTTGAGCATCACTAACCTCTTCGTAAAACAGCTCGAGCAGTTACTCTGTGCATCAGAGCAACTATTGCATGCCAATTATTCCTCACCCCGTCTTTACTTTTGTCGTTGCTGCTTCCAGCGATACACCGCGGGCAGTCCGTTTTCGGCATTCTTCACCTTCATCTTCTTGCCTTTGGCCTGCACTTTACGTTCCAAATCCAGTTTGGCACTCATGAGTCCAATCTTTTTGGCGCGTGTCAAACGGTCTCTCATCTCTCTGTACATCGCGTCCTTCTCAACCTGCATCTTGTATTTCTGCTTCCGAGTAGCTGCAAAGTCGGGCAACTCCACCGTTTCTAAATCCCGCTTACGTATGCGGTTAAACGCTCGATTTGCTAGTTCCGGCACTGTATCAAAGTGCTGCGCCACGTCGAACGTTTCCACTTGCTGTTCATTGTCAACAAAGACAATGTGCTTGTTTGTCTTCGATGCATCTACAAAGTGCAGCCCTCGGTTAAGTTTTTCAGCTTTGCGCAGGTCCATAGCTCGCTTCATGTGCAAATACGCCAGATCCTGCGTCTTTAATGTACGTAACGCCTCTGTATCCACCTGCTTAACATGATTATGTGTTGACACGTGCACACCATTCTCTGTCCTTGTATTAACCATACGACGATCAAACTCATCGGGATTGCGTAGTGCTGCTTTTAGTCGCAATGTGGTTAGATATTTTTGCTTTTGATTGTAGTCACGTGCACGCTTTACATAATCTTTATGCTTTTCAAGTAGACCCAATTTACGACGTTCACGTAGCTGTCCACGTTCCTTATGCTCACGACGCTTGACTACATTTCGAAGGGATGACATGATATACCTGATGTGTATTTGATGATCTCAGAATGGCTGGTTGGTAGTATTTGAGAAAAACACTTTTTTCTATTAAACGTTGGAATGAATGACACGGCGTTTTATTTAAGTATAAGAAAGGCATAATGTAATGTGAGCTACATAAAATTCGAGCATTTGGATGACACATAGTTTTGGGTGCGTTTGCTGCAAATAAAATTTCTTTTATTTGGTGCAGAATATTGACTTTTCATATAAGCTATAATTGTGAGCAGATATATTGTTTTATATTCGCATCTACATAATTTTATCATACAGCACAATTATTATAGCTATTAGAAACTCATTGTTTTATTTTAAGTATTTATTAATAAATTGTTTTGCAAAAATACATTTTGTTGGCATTAGTGCTGAATGATTAAAGCTGTTGGTGTAAACAACGTCAGTTTATTTTCCTCAGTATTTTAACTTCATATGAAACTAAAAGATTCAAGGAGACAATTTTACAATGGAAGAATACAGTATCGTCTCTTTACATCGTACAATCTTCATCTTATGACCCTGTCTTTTGCTATGCGTAGTGCTCATACATCCTGCAGATACTTTCTGCCTCGATCATACAACTTGACGTATATAACTCGCAACAACTGTTGCAAATTGTGCATTTAGAGAGCTTGTGGTTTGCCAAGAAATAGTACACCAGAACGGGCGGCCTACTCGATCCTTTGATAGCTCTAAGTGCTCACGAGAACGTTTCAAGTTGTAAACTTGAGTATCTCACTGTTTTAGCCTTTGACTCATCAATTCCTTCACTCATTAAACAAGTAATGTACACGAGCCTTGTGAGAAATATGTCGAGTAATTTGCAGTATAGACTTTCAAAGAGTATGTGCATGTCATAAGTTTGATTCCAGATATTCACACAGGTAGGTGCTTTGGCAGTGTGGGAACAAAAATTGACCTTTACTGCCTGGGAACGTTACTCGATGCCACAGCTTCAGGTGATTTGGTAGACGCAACGTGCTCACACGTATGCTACGGCAACTGATGTTTTGTCCCGTGTGATGCAACGCATCACGATTGCGTTGATTTCTTCTTCCGCAACTTCCATGGAGCTGGATCTCTTTCATTGCGTTCAACATCAAATGATGATGAATTACTATGAAGCAATTGTTACGATCAGAAGAGGTAGTCAAGACCAGACTTAAAAACATCCTGGAAACTCACAGTTCATCCTTGCTAATAACATTGTTAACACGAGAGAGAGCGAGGTGATTGATTGATTAATTGATACTCTGTATACTTCTAGTTACCGTACACTACCACCATCTTCGAACTCTGATACCATCAATGGACCGAACTATTTCAATACATGCGGTTCTTTTTTCTGTACTAATTCTGCTTCATTTCTGAACCAGTAGCCCCCCTCTCCTCCTCATTTTTCCTCCTCCATTCAATCATCTAATGCTCAAGTTTAGGACTGCCCACCTTCGTTTTACTACGTTCCTACGTCGTCAGGCCTGGGAATTACGTCAGTTGCAATGCAATTGGACGTCACTAAGTCTCTTGTTATTGTTTGGACTGAGCTTTCTAAGTTTTGGACTCTGGCTTTTTCCTCTCACACGTCTACCGATCAATGTCTGGACAAAAGACTCGAATGTTTTGCGATGGGGCGTCAATGACGCCGTTGTGCTTCTAGTTGGTCAAGACTTGCAAAGGTCCTTACCACTTGATTATGTGTATCCCAATGGGGCCGAAAACAAGTTTACTTGTGACTTACCAGCACTTCGCTATCAATGTGACATGGACAACATTGAGGGTTGTAAGAGTTATCCACAGCTATTCCCATCTGCAGCATTGTTTGAAAATTGGAATCCTGAAAATACGGATCAAATACCTCAAACCATCTTTGATAGTATCTGTCACTTTAATGTTTCTAATCCGGTACGTGAGTGGTAAAGTTTTTCATCTAGCTCTTACGTTCGTTCCTGTGAAGGCTACTAACTTTTGTATGTATATCTATATATTGTAGTATGAACTACGTCTTGCACAAATGTTTCGGGAAATGGAAGTACCGTTCGTAGCTTATGGAGTACCTGAGCTTCTGAAAGCTAGCGAGCAGTGGACGGACGAGTATCTAACGGAAAAATTAACCCCGACGACACCGTACAAGGTCCACATTGCTAACAACAGCCACTATATGTATTTTTCCAAGAAACAGCGTATTAAAGGCGAGAAACGTCCGTACACGTCGAAGTGGATGACATATCCGCAGTTTGTCAAAATACTGAAGGACGTCAAGTTGCTTCATGAGGCTGGAAAGCCCCATGAGTACTATTACTTTATGCTTAAGACTACCGATTTCTTCGAACACGCGTCGTTCATTTATGAAGAGCTTCGGTTCCTGAACCCGCTGGCAACGGAGCATGATTCACGATACGGCGACCTTTTTGTTCGAGACTATGCTATAGCCAAGGAAATTGGCATGCGCTGTCGTCTCGGAATGCAAGGTATTATTGCCGAGGGTCACGTTGATAGCGGTTTAAATTTTGTCTCGATGATCCGTGGAACCAAACGTTATGTGCTCGCACCGCCCAGTGTCTGTAAATGCCTAGGGCTCATTAAGCAGGGGGCAATCGGTACGCCACACGTCGTACAACTGGTCAGACACTAGTGCTCTGCCGGAGGATGCGCGTAATTGTCCGGCAACGGAAGTGGCGCTTACTGCTGGCGAAGTTTTGTACATTCCGCCGTTTTGGTATCACCACATCGTGTCGACAGACACTAGTATTCAGTGCAATCTTCGCTCTGGATTTATTGATCGTAGCAATACACAAGACATTCTCAGTAAATGTGGGTTACCGGTGATGCGGAAACAAACGGTGTGACGAGCAAACAAAGTCAGTAATATTTGTGCAATAAAATGTGGTTGTGATTGAAACTGTTTGTAGTCTATACAACAACTACATCATCACATAAGCATTGTACTGATTAGGATTGTCATTGATAACCCAGATCAAACTTGTCCGCCGATTCGTTTGTGAGAATGCCGTACGCTTTCTCAAACGGCTGGTGTTTGTAAGGCGTGTCAAACATTTGAAAGTAAAACGATTCAACCATCGAGCTCGTCCACGCCTGGTAGTCGCGGTAAAAGTGCTCTGCGCCCTCTGCGCTGCCAATGTTACCGAAGAGCTTGCCACATGATGGCCAGCCCGTCTCCGTGACCATGAGTTTGTCGCCAAAGGTTTGCTCCATAGTTGCCCATTGAGTTTTCACGACGTCAATGGCGTTAACAGCAGATGTTCCAGGAGTAAAGTACGGGTGAATGTTCACACCCAGGACATCGCAAGCATCTACAAGATCCGACCAGCCCAAGATTCTGCTATAGTTGATGACTTCAGTGTTGCGCTGCACGGTTCCAACCTTCACTGTCTTTGGCACACGCTTTTTGATGTATTTAATGAGATTGATCATTTCGTCAGGTACTTCCATGGCATCTGCCAGGTTTTCATTCCCCACAAAAATATAGGCAAGAAAAGTCGAGTTGGCAGCAGTAAGAGCAGCTCCCATTTGGATCAGATAGTCGGACTGAGGGTACGGAACCCCAAGCGCAACTTTGAGTCCGAGGTTGGCACTATCAATGGCAAGACCCAAGTTTGTACTGCCAAACTGGGAGATGTATGTGCGAACACTTGTGAACCCGTGGTTCTTGATGACAGCCATATCGACTTTGACGCTTTCAGCGTCCATTGTGCCGCTGATGGAATGATCCGGATCGTAGCAAACACCGTTTGCACTCACTTGAATCGTGAGCAAGGCAATACAAGCATTAAACGGGGCAAAAAACTTCATTTTGTGCGGGGTTGAGGGCAACTCGAAGAATGACTTTCAGCTATTCATTTCAATGCGTTCTAAGTTGATACAGGTATCAGAACCAACCGGGTATTTTTATCTAGTCGCCTCAAACAGTTGTTTGTAGAGAGAGTGATGACTTTGGTCGTTTTATTCGATCGTCAGTCGAGTCGAGATCCCAACAGACAAATTTGGGGGTTGGTTCAAAAGAGCGTGACGTAATTTATACCCAAACAACGACGCAAATGAGAGCGAAACAACGAGAGAAATTTTCCATATTATGCATGAAAAGCCATCTTGAACATAGTTGTATGACCAATGTTCAGCATAAACTATTTCTAAATGATTGAATAGCACGATTGACACCGTACGTGCTCACAAATTTCAAGTCATGATTGTAGCGTTGAGTTATTTTACTTACAGTGTGTTAGCTACAGTCACGCAGTCATTCCCATTCGAAAAAAACGGCTAGCGGCGGAGCTCAATGGTACAGGAGTGACTGACAGTGGCTCTGGTGGGTGGAATTTTTCGATATCTTCGCACAGTAGATCAATGATAGCATCCTTTGACAGCTTCTCGTCGGGCATATCAAACGAAAAGTCAAATGACCGAGAGACCACCAGGTCGTTTTCGTCAAAAAATGGAGCCAAATAAGGGTGCCGCAATGCAGCGTCGACCGAAATGCGCTTGTCTGGGTTGAAGAGAAGCATTTTGCTCAATAGATCGATAGCATCCGAGCTTGCCGAATGTTCAGCGCTAACTTCTGCAAATACGTCCTGCCATTTCTTTGGTTTCGAAATTGCTAGCTTGGTGAGAAAACGCAAAGCCTTCGTGTTCTTCACAAAACCAATGTCCTCCTGTTTTGGAGTGCCCAAAAACTTGATAATGAGCTTAAGCTGGTGCAAATAATCATTTCCAGGGAATAATGGTTCTCGCAACAACATTTCTGCAAAGATACAGCCCGCCGCCCAAACATCAATAGCAGTCGTATAATTAAGGCAGTTCAACATAATCTCGGGCGCACGATACCACCGCGTGACAACGTACTCTGTCAGTTCGCCTACCTGAAAAGCATCCTGCTGTCCTCCTGTTGGTAATTGAACTCCTCCACGAGCGAGTCCAAAGTCGCACATCTTGAGGTCACAATTCGCATTCAACAAAATGTTACTAGGCTTTACGTCACGGTGCAGGACACCTGCCGAGTGAATATGGTGCAGCGCACAGAGCATTTGATACAAAAAGTACTTGACATGGTCGTCTGACATTGGTTGTAAAGAGTAAATGACCTGGTAAAGGTCAGTCTCCATGAGCTCCGTAATAATATACATATCGTCAAAATGTTTGCGAGAAGGAGGAGGCGATAAATCCAGCAGCCGAGTGATGTTCTTATGTTTGAAGTGAGCCAGCAGCCGAACCTCGCGCAATATCCGCTTTGCATCCACCAGGTCTTCGAAAATATTAGTAATTTTCTTGACAGCTAAGTGGTCACCGCCGGTAACAACGTCCTTGACTGCAATTACAGCACCATAGGCTCCATTCCCAATCGGCTTAACAAGCTGATAACGCGTATCCAAGGTAAATACCTGCCCATTTGCGTTAAAAGAGTGCGTCTGCGGTCGCAACATCGGGAAAAAACTCAAACTGCTGCTAGTGGTTCCAAAAGCGGCGCGAGGAAGCCGTCTATTTCCATTGTCTGCTGATTCTACAGTTGATCTTGAGCTGATTTTCGTGTATTCGTATTCCTGAACTAGTCTTTGGTAAGAAGAGACTCCCTTTCCTCCCAAAACAGCGCTTTTATACGGCGCCACAGAACTCTGCGTGGCAAGATCACCTCCGTCAAAGTCGTCTTCAAAATCATCGTCATTCTGGTTGTTATCGTCCTTGTTATCTGCCTTCTCATCCTCTGCATTGTTGTCAGAATACATGTCCTGCGGTTCTACCAACTCGTTCGGCCGATATTCGGGCGTGCAGCAATATCCGTCAGCGGATTGATCTGGCATTCCTCCCATTGCAACAATCGGAACTACTTGCGTTCTTGTCTCGAGATCACACAAAGCTGATTTTAGTTCGTCTTCATCCTCAGCTGCAACGTCCTTTTTCGCAGTTCGAATCTCTTCAGCCAGGAGTTCTCCTTCACTATGATCGTTGCTACTGCATTCACTGCTGGTATGACTCCGATCGTGACCGTTTTGTTCACGCGCACCCGTGACCAATCTCTTCGTCCGACGTCCTTCATCTGCACCCAATGGCACGATCCTAGCAGCTTCTGTCCACCTTGTCAACGTCTCTTTGCGTCGACATTGTTTCTCCTGCACAAGAAGCGTGCTAATACACGCATTCAACGTGTGTAACCACTTGACATATGTCCGTTCATCTTCTGCAGCAAGTCGAAGTACCTGTACATCATCTTGTTCCTCTCTCTCATTAGTGTCCATCATATCTGTGCGTTGTTCACGTGTCGCCAATTGCAATTCAAACGCGTACTTCACGTGTCGACATGTCGTCACTTCCTTAATCACATCAGTAGAAGAAAGCATTGTCATGGTCATTAATTGACCGGGTTTTCTCTTTTGAGATAAATATTGAAACTCTCGTAGTGTAAATCTCACGTTATTCTTAATTTCACTTGTCTCTTCCAATACAAAATATCTCGACTGTAAACATCGACACGCGTGGTTTACCTCAATCACTTGAAGAAAAAGTATGCCATCCACTAGAATTTGAAATCCTTGTGACAATGGTGTTTTTTCTACTACTTCATATCGATTACGACTACTTCGTTGTAAAGTAAGCGAACGTAAAAGTGTACGAATGGGTGAATCCATCTGTATCTTTGTTTCTTCTTCTTCGCCATATAGAATATGAGCTATTGAAGTTTCATGATGTACAAGAGGTTGGGAACTCACCAGTGGAGATCGTTCTTTACGTCGAAATAAACGTGCTAATAATGTCTGTGTCCGTATACCAGTGGTACTATTATCCGGACCACCACGTGGTGATGTACAACGTACATGTGTTGAGAGAGACGATGACGATGATGATGATGATGATGATGATGATAAAGAACAATTAACGTATTCTTGTTCTTGCTCTAGTTGCTTTGATTGCTGCAGCAGTTGATGCGTCATAATGAAAGCAAATGAACGAGTGAGCAATCAAGTGACACATTTGAAAGATATTTTTTGACCGGAGAGGCGTGTGGTGGTGGGGTGAGATTTTTCACCGTTTTACGAATTCAATAAAAAAAAACACACGATACACACATAAAAGAACTTGTAACGTGACAGATATAGTGGGACAGAATAATATGGCATCGGTTAGATGGATAAAATCCAAGGTTATTATTATTTATTAAAAGCTCTATGTCATCAGATTTACATGTCGCAGTTACATTTGTCTCTACCATAAAGTTAGCTAACTAACTACTAAGTATCCAATATATTAAAACGTAGGATTAATGCCGTATTTAAATGAACATGTCGTCACTCTTTCAGGGCGTTCGTATTGCATAGAATGAATGATTTATATCTAGATTGACACGGTATACTGCATGAATGTTTGTTCATTCACTAGCATTGACGATTGTTATCATCCATACATCTTAATTATTCTAGCAAGCTCAAGGAATAACACTTTTTGTATTACCACACGTAAGTGCGTGATGTCAACAGTTTGAACTGTCGTAATAGTGTGTGACCATTGAAGTAAAGAAATACGTTGTTTGCATATTAAGCTTTTGGAAGCAAGTTGCATTCACTCATTAACACAAAAGGGTTGTTAATCTCTTGTTTAATACACATAGTCAATCTCTTGTTTGCGTATCATGTTCCTATAAACATGAGTGATGTTCATTTCTTCATTGGTGACGATAAAAACACGTTAATGCACATATAAACTCATGCAACTAACGCTTTCACAAGTCCATGACAAAAACGTTGTTGATCTTCCTTGTAAGTAAGTAACACTAGCAGTTTCTTTGGCCTTAAATTGGCTAAATTTGTTTGACTTTGCCAGTGAATAAGGTCATCCATCCATTCACGCACTTCAACGTCATTTTTCATACCAGTAGAACGTGATTTTGCAATGCCTTCGTCTCTTTTGTCTACTACTAGTTATTACTAGTCTGTTACTAGTTATTACTAGCTACTAGTTAAATACTAGCTTAGTACAAAACACAAATCTTTTCAGCTTAAACGTCACTTGGTCTTCTTCTGAATTTTTCCATTAATGGGACAACGTCTCAGTAGTAATATCTCACGTAAAAGTGAAGTTTTAGAAGAGGATTGTCCTCTTTCTTCTTCTCTATCTACTGATCTTCTCCCTCTATCCATCAAACGACCATCAATTATAGACCAGGAAGAATTGAAAGAATCCATAGCATTATCAAGTAATGATGAGATTGTCAGACATGACAATTGTTTGATTTCACCCATAGACCAAGAACCGTCCGTTCATCATCATCATCATCATCAAAAGAAGAAGAAGAAGAAGAAGTAAAGGAGATGAATGACTCGAGTGAGAATGAGAGTTTTTCATCCATTGATACATTTTCATCACCACCTCGTCGTCATGTCAAGACGGATGATGCACATCCACTTACAAGACGAAATTCAATCTTACGAACGCCTGCACCACCCAAATTATCCCGTTTTCGACCGTCAATGGATATAGTGGACAAATCTCTACCGTCGATTGACTACCAATCTAGCGCTGACTCGCGATCCTTTGACTCGAGTTCAAGCTCATCAGATGAAGACCTTGTTGGCAGCGGAGAAGAACTCGTAAGCGACTGGCTTGACGAACCCGAAGACGCCGTATTGTCACCTCAATCGGTGCCAAAACGAGTTCGACACGCAAGTGCCTGCTCTTCTGTATCATCTCATGCAGGAAATACTAGCGTCTCGTTCTCGGCCATGCACAGTAGTGGCGGACGGAATAGCAATAGCAGTCAGCACAGCATGACAGGCTGGGCATCGTGGCTTAGCTCGCCAGACGATGTGGAAGAAGAAGAGGATGCGGACGACGAACCCGTGGCACTCACACCCTTTTTGCGTGATAATATACCCGTGTACGAGATCATGCGACAGGTACAGCTATTTCGGAACTTGAGTCAAATGCAGCAGGAGCAGGTCGTGCGAGCGCTTAAACCCGCCAAGTTCTCGGACGGTGAGGTCATTGTGGCCCAGGGCACGCGTGGCTCGCGGTTTTACATGATTGCCAAGGGAGAAGCTGTAGTGACCAAGACTGTTGTCACGAGCAGCCATAGCATCACTGGTACGACGTCATTCAATTCAGGACAGACACAAGAACGCATGATCACTCATCTGCGAGCTGGTCACTACTTTGGCGAGCTAGCACTGATTTACGACGACCCGCGCACGGCCACTGTGCGCGCCGTGGGTGACGTGGAGCTGTTGTACTTGACCCAAGAAGATTTCCAGCACATTGGGCAGGTACATCTAAGTTTAATGCTGCAACAGGTGCCGCTGCTAGCGAGATTGAGTGCACAAGATCAGGATATTGTGCTCAAGTGCTTACGACCTGCAAATTTTAGCGATGGTGAATACATTGTTCACCAAGGTGACGAAGGCACTCGGTTTTACATGATTACGCGCGGTGAAGCGATTGTAACGGAAAAGGCTACGGGCCCGGACAAGAAATCGTACGAAAAGGAGTTAACGCGATTGTACGAAGGTCACGTTTTCGGTGAAATGTCACTGATTTACAGTGAACCTCGCACTGCTTCAGTGCGTGCGGTGGGCCCCGTTAAGTGTTTGTACCTGAATAAGGAAGACTTTGACAAGTGCCTCCTGTCTGACCATTTCCAGCGCTTTATTCAGGAAGCCTATGTAGAGAAGGCAACGCGTCGTGCTATGCGACTACGACTACAACAGCGAGCCAATAGTGTGGCAACTGTAGGTCCTTCTACTCTTCGAACGGGGTCCGGAGCTGATAATCTGCCTGGTTCCATGGCGGCATCACTGGCAGCACCAGCATCACCTGTGAAGGCGACGGAAACCAAGAAGCTTGTCAAACAGCGGCTTAAAAACGGCGAGGTTGTGGTGAACAAGTATGTGATTAAGGGCGACTTGGGTCGAGGCACATTTGGCCGCGTCAAGCTTTGTGAAAGTCAAGAGGATGGACAGATGTATGCTGTAAAAATCATGCACAAGACATTCGTTCAGCGCATGGCTGGCAAAGAAGACCAGCTTTACGATGTGCTGCGCCGCGAGGTAGCTATCATGAAGAAGCTAAACCACCGTAATGTGGTGAGGCTTGTGGAGGTAATTGATGATCCGAATAGCCAGAAGATGTATCTCGTGCAAGAGTACGTACAGCACAGTCTAATGGAGGAAGTCACACAAGCTCGTCGCTTGACTGAGCCGATCGCTCGTAATTATATGCGTGATCTGCTTACTGGACTTCAGTATTTACACTTTCACAAGGTAATTCACCGTGACATCAAACCAGAGAACATTCTTGTTAGCTGTGACAGTGTGGCTAAAATTGCCGACTTTGGTACAGCGCGTATCATCATGAATGAGACTGAGACAATTTCTGGTGCGAAAGGCACTCCTGCTTTTATGGCCCCGGAGATGTTTGATATTGATGCCACTTATCAGGGTCCTGCCGTAGATGTGTGGTCTCTCGGAGCTACTTTGTACATGATGGTAATTGGGCACCCACCCTGGATGGCGGATAATGAGATTCTGTTGGCTGAACGTGTGCAACGCGTAGAGCTACGGTTTCCGAAGGACGTGGAACGCACGATGGAACCGCATTTAAAAAATCTTTTGCAGCGCATGCTTACTAAGGACCCAGCGCTGAGAATTACATTAAAGGAATGCTTTACGCACGATTGGATTACAAAGGAAGGCAGTGATCCGCTTGGCTTGATTACACCAGAGAAAAATCTTACAGTATCAATGGATGAAAGTGAACGTGCTATTGAGAACATTCCTGAGCGTATTGACCAGAGGTTGACGGAGAGTCTTGCGCAGGCTCATCTGTTGGTAAAAAATCGACAAGAAAGTGTTGGCCCTGGCATAGTGCGCACAAACAGTGGACGTCATTTTGCGGGAACACCTGGTTTGGGAACATTGGTATCACGCATTCCGTCAACGGCGTCGAACACGTCGTCAGTGGCCACCGTCGGTAGTACATCGTCTATGAGTCCGAGCCGTGCATCAAGCGAAGAAGTTTCACGTATTATTTGCGCATGGCGTCATCACAAGCGCGTACAGCTGATGGACGGTCACAAGGAGTTGTCTGAGCGTTCTCGCGAGTTGCTGATCGAGCAAAAGCGAATGACGTTTTCAGTGGATCGTGCAAGAGTGACGGAAATTATCCTTCCTGCTGCTAAGCCTACTGCTCGCAGTCGATATCCAAGCGCGTCTTCTTCCGCGTCGCTCCGGCAAGTAAATGAACAGTCTGTATTGTCGTCATCATCATCAGTTTTGTCGCTTTCTCGCAGGTGGTAGTGATACGCGTTCGTCTGACTCGCCGAGGACACGCTCGTTTCCAGCTGGACGAAGCGCATCCGTGGACAACTCGCTGCTTGTGAAGAAAAGCAGTTTTCATAGCCGAATGTACAAGGACTCGGGCAATCTGGAAGGCTTTGGGCGTACATCATTTACTTCAGTATCACAGCTGTCTGAATTGGCAGCCATTCCTGTCGAAGATAATGTAGACCAGCGCGGAAGTTTGTCGTCTAGTGAGTCAGAAAGCATTGGACACTCAATCAATAATTTGACTAACACTGGATCATCGGACGCAGATTTGATGAAACGGTCGCTGTCGCGCAAGAGGGACTTTCTCATGGTTACATCTGAGGTGTTTCGTGACAAGGAAGGCGATTATCAAACTCGCAAGATTCTCTTCCAGGCACGTGACGACGACTTCTCAGTGGCTTCAAGAGTGCCTACTCATTCAAATTCAGGGCGCGAGTTGCTTCCGCCGGGTCGCGCAGGTTCAACGAGCTCTTCGGCATCGAGCCAAAAACCTCGAAGGCTAGGAAGCGCTGGCAAACTAGGTAGTGAAAAAAAGTTAGTCAGTACGGGAAGCGGCAGTGTCATGAGCGGCGCAATGGGCAGTGCAGTTGGCAGTGCAATGGGCAGTGCAATGGGCAGTGCAGCGGGAGTGAGTTGGAGTGCAATGGGCAGTGCAATGGGCGGTGCATTGGCCAGAAGCAACGCAAGCCGCCAATCGTTAAACGGGAGTGCCAGCTCAATTAGCAGCTCGTCACGGTCTGTTGTAACTGACGACGGCAACGTGGAAGAGTTTGATATGGAAGGTATAGACTGTGTGCAGGTAACAGAAATCGATGATGAGGATGATGACGAGCATGCGAATCGTGGAAGTATGCGCAACAGCAGTGATTCCTCATCGCGGCATTTTCATCACCATGCTAGTGACAGTAGTCGTGCGAACAGCAGCCATAATCACAGTCATACCTCTGGAATGGAAGGACTTTCTGACGCAGAGAGTAGTTCGGACGATTCAGATTATTCTGATGTGGAATGTGATGTAGACGTCGATGCAACCTTCAGCGACCTTATTGTCGCGCCAAACCAGCTTGACCTTATCAGCCGCGACGATGAGGAAATTGCACCTATCGTCACAACTAGGCCTTCATCCGCGTCAGTGGTAGATTTACCATGTTTATCAAGCGTTGTAGATAACAGTGGCAAAGGTCTTACTCTCGGCTCGCTGGCATTGATGACATCTAGTTCGTCGGCAATGTCGTTGCTATCCCCCGTGCCGCATCTGGATATTGTGCAAGTTTACGTGAGCAGTAAAATTCGCGAAAACCTCACGCTAGCAGTTCGGTCTGGCTACGCTGAGGCAAAAGGAGCCCGATCGTACATGGAAGATCGCAGTATTGGACAGGCATCTTGTGACCTGTCTCGGTATCCAACTGCACTTGCGGATAATTATGCCTCATTGGCATTTTTTGCGGTATATGACGGTCATAATGGCACCGATACGGCTGCAAAATTGCAAAAAGAGCTGCATCATCGATTCTTTGCTGAAGGCGCTAGTTTTGTCGAGTCCCCTTTATCTTGCATCTCGTCAGTGTGTGAGGCAGTGGACAATGAAATCTTAGAACAACAGAACCAGAGCGTACTCCCTAAACGCAAACGTACAATGGCAGCCGAGGAACTGCAACGATATCTTAGGGGCGAAGTCACCGAATCAAGAATGGTGGGAGACGAGTGCTGCGAGATTGACGGCAAAGTTGTGTGTGGAGACGAGATGAAAGCCTTGCTGCAACCGATTTCGTTCTCTGGAGCTGCAGGTGTTTTAGCTGTGGTGGCGAAGCGACGCAAGAAGCGTCGACGTGCTTGTGGGGCTAAGGAAAATGACGCGGAAGCTGTAAGCAAAGCCAGTGAGGAAGGTGACAATGAAGTGGAGAAAGATGGGGACCAGCCCACTATACTTTATGTGGCCAACGTGGGTGACTGCCGTGCTGTTTTGTGCACCGCAGACGCTGTAGCAGTCGACTTGACGACAGACCACAAGGCATCTGTACCGGCAGAACAAGCGCGGATCGAGGCTTCAGGTGGTTTTGTGCACAACGGGCGTCTGGATGGCATTTTACAAATCTCGCGCGGCTTTGGGGACTTGGCACACAAGCAGGATGGTCATTTGGTGGTGACTCCCGACGTCATTGAACACCTGGTTGACCCTTCGGATCAATTCTTGCTGCTCGCTAGTGATGGGCTATTTGACGTTCTCACGTCGCAGCAGGCTGTAAACTTTGTATTGCGTAAGCTTCAGACGCACGGTGATGTGCAGCTAGCAGCTCAGGAGCTTGTGCTTAAATCGCAGGCATATTTTGCCCACGACAACATTAGTGTGATCATTGTGGCGCTGAACCAGACGTGCGATGCGTGAAATGAAGGTCGGTCACTTTTAATATGTGCAGAAGATCGAGGACCGACGAAAAGACAGAAACATTAGGATTACGACTGAAACATTCAGATTAAATGAGAAGAAATACAGACCCTTGAACCGAGTGAGAGACGTTTTTAGCGTTGGGTTTCAATATATCGACAGAAATTCTCTGACAGATACAGGTAAAGAAAGATATTCAGACCTGTTCTGTACAGCAAAGTCTAGTAAACAGCAACGAACATGCGAGCTAATTGCAAAAGGAAGCAGTCCTAATTAAATACTTGACAAACTGCACGATCGCAGTGCTGAAGGATTAATATCTCGTTCTAGCTACTAGGACCCTCATATTCAAGAGTTCTAATCAACAATGCTGAAGAAAATGTCAAATGAAACGAGACAAACTATGACGGCATTGAATAGAAGCGACAACTTGACCGCTTTGTATAACTTTAAGGCCCAGACATTGATTTTGCTTTAATTTGATCACCCGTCAAAATTAATGTTATAGAGATACCTTTAGTCTTAAGGAAATTGCAGCAAACACTGCACATTCTTGTCACGGGTCGGTCACATCGCATCAATCCATTAGCTTGCGTCATTGGGTCTAGTAGTATTTACTGACTTTTCTTGACAGATGGACGACTTGATTTATGCCGCATCCACACAACGTTCTTTTTGCCTGGTTTTACTTGCTCTAATTGCTTTCAATACCATGTGATTGTTATAATTTTGTACGATATATATTTCTATGCGTAGATACACGACCTTTACCTTGTTAATATTACAATCTACAAATATAATCTCATCCCTCCAATTGCAATCTATAGGTCAGTCTCAGCCGACCACGTGCATACATTAATATCTCTTCGAGATTTACGTGTTTTATTCCATAGCTTTCAGTCAAGATTTGTATCTGATCCAATACCCAGTTTCAAATGTGTGGGCAATTCATCCGATCAATTGACTAGTCTTAATCGATACTTTTACCTCAAATTCGGTTATTTTTCTAACCGGTTTAAATTGAAATTTTCATACTTAAACTTGAGGTAAAAGTATCGCCTGATATAAAAAATACTTGACTGGTGTCAGTGTACTGTGCTCAAAGCTAAAGAATGACTGTCAAGTTCAGCGCAGCAAACCTACTGTTTGTTGTCGTTAGCTTTTCACTTGGCCACATCAAAGTCCGTTCCTGATGGCGTTATGCCTAACTTACAAGCTTCAAATACGCCGGATGCAAGTCATGATCGGCCTGCCGTAGAGCCGATCATGATGTCTGGTGTAGTAACGGATGAACTTACCGATGACTCTGAAGATCGAGCTATTTTCAAAATAAAGTCCGGTGTATTGGAGCCAACCGTTGTCCAATGGCCGGAAGAAGTGGGAATTGATGATTATCTCGTTACCCTTGTGTAAGAGGTCAAATTTTTATAGAAGTGAGGATTTGTACCCTAAAATTCTCGGCGATAGCGCTAGAACTATAGAAACGAGCATGAATATCTACAAACTCTTAGCAAAGACGTTTGGCATAGCAAAACTTTACAGAGAAGATCTACAGTATGAGACAGATGGAATCTCAAGCATTCAAGAACGAGTTGATGAAGGCACAATTTTCTAGTGTGGATGGAAAAATCCAACTATGCATTGCCTTTTGAGGACACTTTCTTATTTGTATCAGGAAAACGTAAAAAATCTATGAAAAGGTTTTGTCAGATAACGTTTCTTTCAAAAGAAACATAAGCACCTAAGAGCCCATCATCATTTTTGACAAGCCGCAACAGTAAACGGCATGTTTTCAAATAATATACATATTCATTTCATCCGCGTTCATTTATTTGTCTGGTGTGAAGGTGATTGCCACTGCTGTAACGGACCATTTGGGCGCATGTTATCACATAAAAGTGGAGAGCTATGAACAGCAACAGCAGAAACGCCAGCCTGCTGTGCAGCCATTTAGATCTTATAAACAAGTTGTTCCAAGTGACACCTGCATCATGATATCTTCTCAATCGTACGGTAAGGAAAATGTAGCCTAACACACTGATATACAAGCTCGTCAAAACGTCTTTTAAAGACCCTTCATAGCTGTATTAGATCTCAGACTGGTTGTGGTAAATGTAGATTCAGCTTGTTAAGGATCAGCCATTCCGTTAGCATGGCTAACCATAGACCATTGAATGTGGTTGATCTATATCTTATTCTTGCCAGCCTTTATTGATGACAACAACAAAGTCGTGGCGAGTGTTGAGACATCGACTAATGTTAGTAGCGGTGTTGATCAAAACAAAACGATGCATCTGAAAAACGGACTACAAGTTTTGAAGCGCTTAGCCAACAATCCTTGAGTATGACTCATTCAGCTAGCTAAAAAGGTGACTCCAAAGAGATAACCTGGTGCAACCATGTGAAGCTTAGCAGCGGCTATTAAGAATGTTTCTTCCCCGCCTACTGTTGACACGAGCGTACTCTTAAGACCGCATTCTTGCTGCATTTTTGTATTCACGAACGCTTAAAGTTCATTTGCTGCTTCGTTTTAGCCCCTACGCCATCGACCTCATTCATGCGCGAGCATTGATTCCTCATCCAGGTTCGATGGTTCATCTACACAGCAATTGCCGGGACAACCGCAACGTTGTCTTTAGCTATGCATCCGATAGCGCCTTCTTTGCCATTGCAAAATTTTTGTGTCTACGCAAATCTCAGTATGTTTGGTAAAGGCGTCTGTCCACAAAGGTAGCTTCTCATCCGTCAGCGCCAATGTCGTGTGTGCTCACAACTCATACAGCAGCACTAAGTTGAACAGCGAAGACACTGTGACAGCTGGAGACAAGAGATTCCTAAACCACACAAGGTGGATGGGTCGAAGTAATGGCAAACACCTCTACGTTTATAAACCGTCTCCCGAACTGGCACGAGCTAGCTTGTCAAGTGCGTGTTGAAATTCACTTAGCGTTTGAACGCAAGCTATAGTACAACGGCAATTGGGACCGGCACTCCAGAAATACGGGGTCAACAAAGCTACGCACAACAAGCTCTAACGGTCGTGATTGAGGTGTGAGCAGCGACTGATGGAATACGAGAATCGTTTTTGCCTCCAGGTCATTGACGTCGTAAGCTTCATGTACGCGCGTGTCACATGCGTGGAAGGATTATTGTTAATGATATCAACGTCCCATGCGTACAACGAGTAGTGCCGACCAATTGGTACTACTACAACTGGCTACTGATTGCTACAATGTATTGAAAGGTTTGCGTTGGTATTGGCAAAGTTAAATAAGTACAATAATGCAAGGCTCGACTTGAATGTTCGGTCTTGTCCGGTGCAAGCTCAGTAAACACGCCTGCTAGATAGACGTACAAACCGATTTCTTCAGCACAGGATTGAGAGGCTTCTATAGGCTTTCCAACTCTGTGCTCCGTGTAACCTTAAGCAAACAATCGACCGTAACCATTATAGAGCAGATTGGTGATGCTTTTGCTTGCCTTATACAAGATAATATTAGGCCTTAGCGTTACTATTTCTATCATTCATTACTCACGGTCAGTTTTGGTGGATATGTGGCAGTTGCTTGCTCTTTGAGAACCATTTGATTACATATTCTACTTGGCGACAAGCCATCCGTCCCTGTCGATACGCTCTTGCGGTAATTTGAGGCAATCAGTTGCTATGTCGCAACTTGTAGGTCAAACGATGCTCCTCCGTTGCAAGTTTACAACCTTTCTATTGTCAAATAACGACGCCTTTTTTTCTCTCTGCGACACCCAAATAGAGTGGTGCTTAATATAAAAAAGTTGCAATCACATTGTACTATCGCAGACGCCATTCTGCCATTTGCAACCAAACAAACGAAGTAAGAAAACTTGTCCATCGTGTTATTCAGCATCATATCTCGTTGTCTGCGGTGCCTTTGGACGTCGCACGAGTCTCCATCTCGTAGTAATAACAGCAACAATATGGCTGGACAACTACGCGTGGCAGTCATTGGCTCGGAGACGCGCCACCCTGACAACCCCCATTTAGCCTATACTGTATATCGCACGTCGATAAACTACCAGGGATTATGCTACCATCGCCTCATTCGCTTTCGACAATTCCGATCCTTTGCCAAGCGTTTAAAATTGGCGTCAAATGCCACACGCATTCTTGTGAAGCTTCCACCGAAGATCTGGTGGAGTCGTAAGGCCTCTCTCCAGCCCGAGACCGTGGAGGCCAGACAAGTGCTGGTATACCAATAACATTTGTATTTGCGACACTCATTATGTGCTACTGACTTTTGATTGATTCTTTTGTTACTATTTATGTCAGTTGAACGAGTTTATGCAGCAAGTGAGTACTTGTACATTAACACCACGCAGCGCAGAGGAATTACTGAAGCTGCTGCAAGTGGGGGCATTTGCACCTGATGAGGAAGAGGACCGTGTGATCAACAGCCGAATGAGCTTGAAACAACAAAGTGCTGCGTTGACGGAACCCACGTCCGATATTTTAGACCCGAACCACTCGCTCCAGTCTGAAGTAAGTCATCAACAGCCAGCAAATAGCCAAAATCAGCATCAAGATTCTGTAACTGAAGAAGAAGAGGAGCCCAGTACAGCTGAGCAGGTCCAAAACGTGCCAAACTGTCTCTTGAGTGCAAGACGTCAGGGTAATCAAGCTTCCCCCAACACAGGGTATGATGACACGAAGACACGGGGAGGTCGCTCCATGTCGGATCCGTTGCCCCTCGTGCAGCAGAGACGCACCTGCCCCGTCAGCACGTCGCTGACTTCCCCGAACATGAAACACGTCATGTTTGGATCAAGTACGGACTTTTTGGCATGTAAAGAGGGAGGTAGGGACTCTACCGGCAGCTCGTCCGATTTAGCGTCGACCCCCGAGCGCCACTACTTTTGCCAGATTAAGCAATGCATTGCTAGTATCGAGAACCTTGTGGACAGCAGTCGGAAGTTTGAGGCCCATATTTGCGAGAAGCAGACGGCCGACAGGTCGATGGGAGCGGGGCCGATCTCTGATTTGCATCGATAAGTCAGGCATTACACGGACATGAATGAGGGCTCTCACGATCTTATTGGTTACGGACCATATCGCGTCGAGTGGCAAGTCTTTATAGGGCTTTAATATTTATAAACAATGGATCAACGTCAGCTTTTTGGTGCGCACTCATCACATTAAGACGTAGCTAGAACTATTATTCAGTCAGTGCTTCTAAGCAACGTGACGTTTGCATCATTAAATTGTCATTTGGTAATTGCATGATCCACCATCGTCAATATTGTCATCTCGTCCAGCATGTTCACCATGGGCTTGGTGCTGCGTCGTGCTATCCGTTATACAGTCTGTAGTATATTGCGGTTGACTATCGGTTCCGACATGCGGTCGGCATCTACGGTATCACAAAAAATGAGCAAAATGGATATTGTGTCGGGATCTAAACTTCCTACGTTGCATGTCTCTGCTGGCAATTAAACTCACTTGCTGATGCATTTGGCACCAAAGAGAATGTAAACATATTTGATAATAGTCATTGACACAGTCGCCTAATCGTATCACAGGGTATGCCTACGTTCGGGTAGCTGACAGGACTATATTCGCCTTGCATATTATACTAACGCCTGTAAGCTTCGAGACGACGTTGCTTTGTTTTAATCATTGTAGTAGACACGTCAACATTGGAAAGGCAGCGATAGTAAGCTCATTTTGCTCTTGAAATCATGCAAATTAAGAAAAATTGAAGATGGATGCTTCTGAACTCGTTGATTGAAAAGCGTATTTTATGCATCTTCAGGAGCAAGGCTGGCTTTTATACTGATTCCTTATAAGTAGTGTGCATGACACATAAAACCAGCAAACGTGGCCAATTTTTGGATCTTTGAACCTTACAACTTCGGCCCTTCTGATTGACTCATACATAGTACATTGTATGGTATGCGTCCCTGTCCTGACCCCTAGGCTTAGTTATCACCACTAACCACTCACCCGCTTCAAACCTTTACCATCAACGTGCCTTCTGACAAAATTTTTGCAATTATGCCTCGCCTAACAAAGTTAAAAAGAGAGATGCAGGAAATGAGAGAGGTCAAGCGCGCCAAAGCCGATAACAGCTCAGGCATTAATGAATCTGCTGACAGCAGTTCTGAAGGAAACCTGGACATTTCAGAGGGCAATGATGACAAAAAAATCTTGACTTTGCATCTGTTGAAGCAAATATCGAAAGAGCCTATCAAGCAGCTGCAGCTGTTAAAGATCTACCACAACCAAACAATAGCAGGCCAATCCATTATACAGGTTGTGCACCTCGAACTCAAAGACGGAAAAGAGCCAAATTAAGGAAAGCAGCTGTTGGCTGTAATCGTTTGACCAAATACTTTTCTGTTGCAGGGCTAGTTTTGCAAGAAGTTAAGGTTGCAGATGAGGGTGATGACGAGGGTAACGAAGAAGATGTTGATGAGGACGGTGCAGTCTGGACCAGGGAAAGACTGACAACAACCATTAGCACACTTGCCACCCTATCAAAGACTGGCAAAGCCGATCAAAACCGGCGGCTTGCAGTTTTTTCTTATCTTTGGCTGGTAAATTCTGGATATGCCCGAATAGCAGCTAGCAAACTGATAGCGAAAGGTGCTGGAAGGGGTGTGTATTTTGCACGCTCTCTCCGTGCTTGGGCCACTCTGCTTAGAGGGTGAAGAAGTACCTTCGTCACAGACGGGAAACACACAAAACGGAGAGGCTATCCGCAGGATGAGGACTGCTTCTACTTTTGCGGGAGTATCTTCGAGCAAAAAAGTTCAACGTAGTATCAGCTCTGACAGCACATGTCAACCAGAACATCCTCCCGCAACTTGGATACGCCTTATCTCTCACAATCTTTGAAAGGACTGCAACACGCTGGCTTCATTTAATTAACATCAAGTATCGCACACAGTGACTAAAAGGAATATACATTGATGGCCATGAGCGGAAGGATGTCATTGCGTACCGTCAGCACTTCTTGGAGCGAATGGCTAACCTTGAGGTACGGATGTCGATTGTTGTTGGGAAGGAGGAAGTCAACGATAACAATGCAAACTTCACTGCAATCAACTGACCTCCTATTAATGGCATCCCTCCACTCATCTTGATAACTCATGATGCAAGTACTTTTGCCGCTCATGATGGACTCAAGCGTCTTTCTTGATGGTAAACAACCATTGCAAAAAAAGGGGCAGAGCAGGTCCATTCACGTCAGCGACTTCCTTTGCAACGTCATTGGCCGGTTAGCACTTGATGAAAAAAAGGTTGCTCAGCATCCTGACCTACCAGCAGCAGCCTGCATCATCATGCATCCTGGCCCACAGCATGACGGATGGTGGACATCGGAGAAAATGTGCAAACAAGTTTGTGACTTGGCTATCCCAATCTTTAAGGCGTAATTTTCCGGCTGTCAAGCTCTTTTTGCCTTTGACAATGCAACTGGCCACAGTGCATTTGCCCCCGATGCCCTTCGCGCCGGTAAAATGAACCTGTCAAATGGAGGCAAGCAGCCAAAGATGCGTGCAACAACGTGGAAAAACGGGATTTCTCAGGAAATGATTTTTGCTGATGACCATCCTGATGAAAGACTTCGAGGTCAGGCAGAAAGATTAAAAGTTGTTCTGGAGGAACGTGAGCTGTGAGAAGCTGGTCTGAAGGCGCAATGCAAAACATGCCCTGTGTATAGCACAACCTGCTGCGCCAGAAGAATTATGGCCAGTCAATCAGACTTCAAAGTGCACGTAGGAATGATAGAGGAGCAAATTGTTGTCGCTGGCCATCAAGGGATAGTTTACCCAAAATTCCACTGCGAGCTCAACGTCATCGAAAACTTTTCCAAGCGATACACCAGAAAGCACTATGATTCTGTTGGAAAAATTTACTGGTAGCAGTTCCAGCTGCCTTGGCATCTGTTTCACTGGATGAAATACTTCGGCACTCACGAAAAGCTTTACGATACATGGACGTTTACCGGAAAGGTCTCACCGGAAAAGCAGCAGAGTATGCAGTAAAAAAGTACAAATCCGACCGACGTGTACCCAATTCTGTTTTGATGGATGTAGCTGTTATGACAAGATAAATAGCAAGTGTCAACCTGCAGCTTTTCTGAGCACCTTTATTGACATTTTTATTGATGATTTGCCGCCAAAAAATATTTTTCAGAAAAAAAAACTAATATTAGGCGGCCATAATCCTCCGGCCTAGGCAAAATGCCAAAATTTAGAAGACTTTTGCGATGCTACTGCTCCATGAAGAATTGAGATAATAAAAATCCAAGACTTGTGGAGGAAAGCTTAGAGCATACTCTTTGTTCCCAAAGGCTTCATTTCTGTGTAATATGTATTCAGGCCAAGCCTTAGCAAATCTTGCAGGGCCACTAAAGCTGCTGGTTTTAATTATCATGCACTGTTGTGTACTGAAAAAAATGTTTGCGCAATGCAAAAAAAGTCGCTTTTGATTGATAGTAAGACTTACAACAGCATAACCTAACAGTGCACCATGGACTAGCTAGGATATTGCAGAGTGTTGCAAACGTAGAATCTACCCAAAAAGCTAGATTTCAAACCGACCAGGAACAAGAAAATTAGTTAGCAGGATTTGTATCTGGGCGAAGGGATGGATGGTTGGGTTGTGTGATAATCCGTATAAATCATCTTTACCTCATCACATTGCATTCTGTTTCTAACGTCACGCTCACACTTTTCTGAATGTTTCCAAAACCATGTTTGTCCATGCGGCGGTGCTGCTTGTGGTCGTGGTGTTGCGCTCAGCTTCGGCCACCGCAGAATCTGTTCGCAATGGTGTCATGTCTTAAACAGCTGTGAATACGGTGAATACGGATGACGACAAAGTTGCGGTCGGGCGGTACTTGAAAGCTGAGAGGGAAGCGGCAGCGAGCGACCGTACGTATAACGTTGAAGACAGGGTATCCAGCATGAGTTTTATCTCTGACGCGGAATCGTCTACCGCAAAGATTGTTAAAGAAGCTAACTAGCCGTTAAAGATGATGACGGATCATGAAAAAGTAACTGAACAGTCGTTGCAAAGGATGATGAATGCGGAACATCACAAAGAAGCTGACCAGCCGTTGAAGAGGAAGATGGTGGACCATGACGAAGAAGTTGATCAACCGTCGAAAAGGGTGAATGTGGAACAGCACGAAGAAGTTGATTAGCCGTTGAAGCAGATGGCAGATCATGACAAAGAAGTTGACAGCCGTCGAGAGAAATGAATGTAAAGCATGGCAATGAAGCTGATCAGCCGTTGAAAAGAGTGAATGTAAAACATCAGGAAGAAGCTGGACAGCCGTCGAAAAGGTTGAAGGTGGAACATCACGAAAAAAAGTGAGCTGCCGTTGAATAAGAAGATGGTAGATCGTGACGAAGAGGCTGGACAGCCGTCAACACCTATATATATGATCGGTTTCAAGCTCGTAGTCAGTTCAAGGTTCAGTTTTTTACAAGAAAAGTTTTTTCTGAATGGGCAGCAGAGCTCCTTACTTGGAAGGATACAGAGAATTTTGACATTTACAATAGGGTAGCAAAATTCTACGGCGTCGTAAAAGTCGCATTTTTAATTGAGCAGCAAAGCAAACGCGTGGAACATATTTGACCACGTACGTGCAACTTGGACAATTTTAGGAGTGGGCAAAACAGGACTGGATCCTTAAAAGTATGATCAAGGATATACCACGCCTAAAAGATAGTTTTAGGGTTTAGTTCAGAATGCTATAGAGAGGTTTGAAGTCTACCGGAACAATCTATAGAAGGTAAGTTTCGCGGCGGAAGTAAAACGACGGTAGCTTTTATTATCCTCAAATATGTGCTTTCATTACGTTTACTATCATGCTTCATTGATTTTATCTTGTTCTGGCCTTAAAAGTTACCAGATCATTAAGTATAAGTGTGCTCCTTGTTATTTATGCCACACAACTTTTCCAGGGTAATATTGTTATCATGAAACTTTCTCAATGTATGGTTGTTAATGTGGTCGGTTGTTGTGTTGGAGGCAAATGC